GTGCCATGCCCGAGTCGAGTTTGGTTTGGTGGGGCGCTGCGAGGTTCTGGCTGTAAGTGTGAATATGCGATGTTGGCAACCGGGGGCCCACCATGGCTTGTCATCAGATCGATGAGTCCAGGTGTTGACGGTCTCGGTATTTCACTTCTGCTTCGTCCACGGACCTTGAGCGAAGGCCAAGGGTTGCTCGTGGAGCTTGGGGATGCCACCCGAAGGGTATCCTTTCCACCAATGGCGGCCATTTGCCCGGCTATGGCAATAACGGCACCTCCAGTGCTCAAACTAGGCGACCTGGAAGACCTAGGTGACCTAGGTGAAAGACCAAGACTCAGTTTACGATGCGGGAAGCTGTTCTTCCTTTGGTGAGACCCCTTGTACTCGTCACCCTTGCTGTGGTCATCGGAGCCAGGTAGCGCAAGAGAGAGATCTGACAGATGCCGCTTGAGATTGTTAGGTGGTTTAAGATTGTTGGACGATTTCCTGTGCAACAATTTGCGGAGACTGCTCCGCCTCTCGTGTTTCCTGCTTTTGTCGTTGCTGATCGACAAACTTTCAAAGGAACCCCCCGCACCAACGAGACTATTAATATCGACGTCGCGGGTGCCCCAAGTTGCCGCGCGCGAAGCAGTATCCAAGTCCCTCGCACGTCTCTCATACTCGACCATGGCTGCAGTTGAGCTCGAAGGCTGCGTACGTGCCATGTCCGGAGAAGGGACCGGCATGAGATCTCGCCAAGGGGGTCGCCCCAGGAACTGATGAGGTGACGGTTCTTCACCTTCAGGACTGAGTTGTTCAGGACTATGCAGCGTTTCTTGTTCTTCCAAAGCCCATCTTGCCTCATTCACACTGGCAGCCGGGGTCTCCGAGCCGGTTCCCTCGAGGTCCGATTCATGATCGCTGTATTCCTCTTCGCTGTTCTCTGTGACGAGGACGCCTGGCCCAGGGATGAGAGCCACTTTCAAGTTGAAGTAATCTTGTTGGAGCGAAGGGTCGCCGGCGCTCTTCGCTCTGCGTCGGTTACCTGTGTGCTTGCGACCCCTGTGTGGGGCTGGGTCATCACCATTCTCACTATTCGCCACACTGACGGAGGCCGACCAAGATCGAATATCTTCATTCTTCTCATCCAACTGTCGCCGCAGCTCGAGCTCATTCGGGCTTGGCACGTAAACATTTTCCCGGGACGTGGGCTCCACACCAGCGTGGCCAGTAGCCGCATTTGGTATCCAGGATCCATCATGTTTTCGCGAGACAGACTGCACAGCTCCAAGATATCTGCCATTATCCACCCCGGCTTCCTCGTCGGATTCGCTCGATGGCCCGCCGGGAGAAAGGTGTGTTGAAGAATGACTTGGTCGCCGCATATCTCTTACCGGCGAATCACCCCGGGAAAAACTCTCAATTTTGACAATTGGGCTTCTGGCCCTGGGAGAGCCAAGGTCCGCGGGCACATCCAGACGCTCATCGGGAGGTCCAGTGATGAGAGTGAGTGCCTGCGGTTGGTTCTGCAAGGGAATAGACCCAGTCTGACTCTTGATACTGGTCGTCTCAGAACACAGACTTGATTTGTTGGTCAGATTCGGAGTGAGTAGCTGAGAGGGATCCATAGTCATCTGTGTAGAGTTCAACTCGTTCGGGCCTAAGGCAGTGCTGCGCATGCCTGGATGTAAACCTCCGTCATGCTGCGAACTATTCGAGTCTGGAGATAGGTCTGTACTGAAGGCTGCCGACAAGTAATCGGCGCTTGGCGACGTATGAACGCTCAACTCACTGGAGAGATCGTCCGCGGGGCTGAGGTATTCAGAATAAGAAGCTGGGTGTGCCTCATCGCGGGGCGAGTCACTGTGAACATGCGAACCTATAGGGGAAGAGGAAGGATCGCGCGTGCCGTGATCTTCACCGCTCACGGGTGTTAGCCTGATTGCAGATGATCTGAAAGATGCCACTTCGGGATCTAGCTGGGCCGAGAGATAAGGGTCGGGAAAGGAAGCGTCATTTAGTTTTGCGGGGTTGGGTGAGTCGTTTGGGACGAACTGAGGCGATAGTGTCGACATGGTTGTAGGCAAGTCAAATATCCGATGCCTCTTTCTCGCGTGAACCGGCACAAAGTCAAAGATAGGAAGAATGTTGCAGTCTTTTCCTCTGTTCAGGATGACTCTGCTAACGTGTGCGCGCAGTCCCTCTGGCAAGTACAGTAGAGCTCACAAAGATGGAAACCAGAATTGAGGGCGCATGTCTAGAAAGCCATCGATGAGCAAAGCGGCGGTTTATGCAATTATGAAAAATAAGACAATGAGATATATTGAGTATATAGATGTAGCAGAAGTAGAATCGGTCAATAGCAGCCGGTTTAGATTAGGCCACCGCAGGAATCATTCTGCGGGCGTTCTTGATCGCGATTCAGCTTATTCTCGACCAATGACGTAGACAGACTTCCAAAACTGCCTTTACTGGCAACGGGCCAGGGGAAAAAGTTAAGAAAATAATTGAGGTCGATATAAAATCCACCGGAACAGACAGAACCGTGGATTCAAAAGTTTGGATCGAGCTAATGGTAATGGAAAGCAGAAACTAAGAAGGAAAAAAGGGGGGCAAGTTTAAGCGTAACGGCGCCTTGTAGGGCAGATTAACGAGAAGGTTGGTTGAGGATAATGGCGAAAGAGTCTTGGCTACCTATACAAATCCGCAAAAAGAGGGGTAAGCACGAGCCAAATCGAGGAGAAATAGAGTAGGAAAATTCCCCGTAGTATTGCGCAAGATTAAATCCAAAGAAGAAAAGGACGGAGGAACGAAGAGGAAGAGGAAGAAGAAGAAGAATTGGGAAAAGATGCCTTGCGGCTGAAATGAGGACTGAGCCACAAATGAGCAGGGAAACAAACAGTACGAGGAGAGAAGAGGGCACGTCATGTGTTTTTTTCCCGTCGAAGAAAAAGAGCCTCTTGAGAGCGTGTAACGTGATTGCAAGGCTGTTTTGTTTAGTGAGGCTCATACACATAAATGGACATGACAACCAGTATTGATCTCCAGATGATAACTCATTTGTTATTTTGACGGGAAATATCACATTCTTCCGTCTGCTCAAAGACAGAGAGAGAGAGACATTAACTAAGTCATTTCTCAAGAAATTAAATTGACAGGATGGAGTCGCTCATACTCAACAGACGCCGGTGTTATGAAAGTGTGGGCGCGTGGCTGGCCAGTGAGAACGAAGTGGGGTTCTCATTAGGTCCATTCAGTAAGAGGGAGGATTATCATTATCTACACGGCTTTTCCTGTTCCCTTTGGACCTGGGATTTTTCGACAAGAGAGAGAAAGAACAAAGAAAAAAAAAGGGGGAACCGTTCGGTTTTCGCCACGAATCAGCAAACAGGATTCCACTGTCAGCAATGGATCATCAAATTAAAATGGGCATAAAATATTTGGTGCTGTGGCCCGATGGGAGGAAAAGAGAGGGTCAAGCCCCCGGCCCCATTTGGTGTTCTATATTCAGTACCCGGAGGATGCTGATCCTTGAGTAAGGTCATTCCGCAATCAAGATACGAAGGGAAAATGGAATGAAAAAGGTAATCTTCATCGGGTCGGACTCCGATATACTACCCATCTACTTCAATATCTGATGCACTCGCCTCTCAGTCACTTTACCCTCTCTATGAAAGGAGAGAAGGGCCAAAAAAAAAAAAAAAAAAAAAAAGTTCGTGGAAATGTGTGTTCGATATCATGAACCACAGACCAGTCAGTTATGGTTCCCAAGGTCTCTCTCTGGTCCACAAAAAATGCTAAACCTCCACTCATATCGCTTTATTTCTTACCTATAACACGGGCGGATAGGAACCAGAGACCGATTCAAGAACCCTTGCTCAGTGAATGGCCCTCTAGAAGGTTAACCAGAATAGAGTGATGATTCTTCTCGTTGCAGACATTTCTAGCTGTGAAATGACTGCGCCACGATTAACTTACCTCAATACCAACTACCTACGACACAGGAGAAGCATCTTGACCAGAGTAACCCTGAGGAAGCGCCCAGGGTACATCGATCATCGATCCATATCGACCAATTATGCTCGGTGCATCGTGTTGGTTGGGTTAGTCATGCAATCAGCCCTGCCTGAGGCTGTGCACGATGTTTCGGTCCAGTCCAGGCTTGCTGCGCGAGAATGCGACTTGGAGGTCGGAACAAGCTTTAAAAACTAAAATCGGATATTTTCTGTTCTCCATCCTAGCCTAGTCACGCGTGGCTGTGCTCTTTCCCCCTCCTGATTGTAGTCTATAGCGGTCAGGGCGATCTCGACGCCGGACGGTAGGGAACTAAATGCACAGTCAGTCCGATATCGCTGACCATTGATATCAAGGCAATATGCTATAGTCTCGATTGAAAATATATACAAACGTCATCGGAAATGAAAGAAGGGTCTCCAGATCATTTTCGTCAACTGACATCACATACATTAGAAAGTGTCATCATCCCGATGAGCATACATCATGACAAATGATACACATTATGAAACCCGTTAACACTGCAGGATGCAGAGTGTAAGTAAGCGATAGCTCCCAAGGGAGACAATATCAACAGGAAGAAGGAAGGCAAAGAGGAAGAAGAAGAAGGGAATGAAAGGAGGGAAGCAGGAAAGGAGTACAATAAGATGAAGAAAAAGACACGCTCAAACTCCCACCAAATGCTATACGAAAAAGGAAGAAAGAAGAAAAAAGGAAGAGAAAGAGAGAAGGGTAAGAGTGAGAAACAGAAAGGGGGCATGAAAGAATGATAAATGTTTTCTGTTCTCGAGCTTAGCAGCCCTATAACGGAACAGAAGTATATTGTCGCAAAGGAGTGAACAAACCAAAACACCGCGCTCAGATAACTTAACCCACTGGAATAATCAAGACAACCCTTTCCCAGAAATGTAACTCAAGCTTTTCATGTACAGCCAACAGCTGGTAGCTCTATAGTGCTTAGCCTTTACACCTTCTGCAGCGCTCACGTCTTCCAATGCACCCTACTCACTCTACACGGTATCAAAGCTTGCTTTACCTCGCCTGGGTGAGTTGGGCTTTCCGTCAGAACGTGAAGACCCTCTCGACTCGCTTCGTGGCCTTTCCTCTCCACCGACTAGGGAGTCCGTGGACCGTCTTGCCAGCTCTTGGCGTCGAGCCATAACCACTGGGGAGTCGGAGTACAAAACACTGCCTTGAGTATAAGTACAGGCGAGGGCTTTCTCCTCGTCTTCTGCAAAATCTTCGTGGGCTGCCTCCCGAATGATGCGAGGGAAAGTCCGTAGAATGACGTGACGAGTAGGGTCCTCCTTGGAGCCGACACAGCCTTCTTTCGGGGTTCCGTATTCCTCCCAGATCTCATTTGAGGTGCCTTCTGAGTCAGGCGCCGGGAAAGAAGCCATGATGAGTTCCCGTTCGACACGAGCCAGTCGCCACGTCTCAGCAGCCAACTTGACAATCTTTCGCACGCTTGTATGAAGGGTGTCCATGTGTTTAGGGTCGGCGAAGTGCTTGAGGTGGTCGATGATCTCGTCAACGATCACAGCGGCCACAACGTTGATCGACTGCTTGGCATCGGAAGTCGTGTATGCGGCTTTCAGCGTCTGCTGCCTCCAGAAGGCTTCACGTCTCACAGACTTGCGTCGAATATCCATCGAGAGCATCTGGAAGAAAGTGTCCGCTTTACCGTACCTCTTGCCCAAGGTGAAAAGAAACGGATGGAAGATTCGGTAAGTCAAAGTCTTCGAGATGATATGTTGAACGTATGCGGATCGCAGTTCACGCGATGCCGGGGTATTATCAAGGAAGGATGGTAGCTCCTGAGGTATCTTGGACAGTACATCCTTGGGAGGATCGATTGGAAGGTACGCAAAGTGCTCCTTAGACAAGGAAACAATAAGACGAGAAAGCTGGGCGAAGCAGTCCAAACTAGATTATAGAATTCTTATCAGAGCAGGTACAATTGATAGCATTATTGACATCTCATAATCTTCGTCACCATCGTGATCATAATTCTATAGGGAAAATCGAAAAGGACAAAAGAAAACAAATGAACGTGGCACAGTTCTGGCCAGAACGGTAGTAAAGGCAACACAGAAGACAGTCTGGAAGATTAAGAAGACAAAAGGAAATTTTTGAAAGACAGTCAAGTACTAAAACACATTCTCAATGCACTAGGTCACACTTACAAGAATGGATCACCCTTCGTGCTCTTGAGGTCAGTGGCTTCTCCAAGGCTGTGAAGGGTCTTTCTCAACCTATCGCAGTCTTTGCCCAAATTATCAATGGTGAGGCGCATGCCGTCAGATGCTGCCTGTAGTTGTTGCTCCTTGACAACATTATCCTCTTCAACCTTCTGTTTTTCGCGCTCACAGTGGGCGAGTTCATCGCACTTGTCCGTGATGCGCTGCTCCAACTCGCCCCTCTCATCGGCCCAGTGCCTCTCCATGTCAGCGACATGGTCAGCATGGGTGTTGTTGAGGAGTTCAACTTCACAGGCATGTTGCACACGAGTCTCCTCGAGTTCCTTGTGCTTGTTCTCGAGATCGGTCTTGGTGGACTCTAATTCGTTCACCTTGTCATCGAAGTTTGACTGCAATGTATCATGTGCTTCTTGCATCTGTCGTTTCTGATCTTCGTAGTCGTTCTTCATTGCTTCTTGCTGGTCAAGCAACTCTTTCTCGCGAGCAGCCAAAGCTTCCGCTGCTGCTTTTTCATCCTCGGCCTTTATCTCTTCGAAAGACTCGGTCATTTCCCGTTTTTGAGTCGCAAGAGCGTCCACCTTCTCTTGTTCGCGCCTCTCACATTCCTTCTCATGAGCCTCTTGGGCTTCTTTCATGTCGGTGTTAAGCGTCCTGACCTCCTCTTCAAGGTCATGTTTGTTCTGTGTCAGCTCCTCGTTCGACTTCTCGGAGTCCTCCAACTTCTCCTCGAGGTCTTTCCGCTTCTCGTCAAGATTGCCCAGCTCCATGCGGAGTTCGTTGATTGTGTTCTTCAACTTGGTGGACTCTTCCGCAGCCTCATTGGCAGTTTTCCTCATTTGCGTCTGGAGAGCTTCAATGTAAAAGTCCTTGTGCATCAAATCCTGCTCATGCTGGGTCTTCATCTGTTGAAACTCAGCTTCGCGGGCTTGCAGCTTGCTCTTCGTATTTCTGTAACTGCTCAACAAGCGGTTGATGTCTGGGATGGCATCTTGAATTCTCTGCAGAAGTTCAATTGGTTCCTCGACAGGATGCTCCGGAGGCGACATCATGCCCTTGTGATGGCCGTTGTGGCCATTGTGATGTCCGTTCTGAGGGGCGAAGAATCCATTCCCATTGGCATAAGTCAGATCGCGCAAATGCTGGAAAGCTGTCGCGGTGTTGGGCTCCATGGAGCTCCGGGGGGTGGGTTGCATGCCAGGGGGGTAGAAGGCATACTGGGGCATAAACCCAGCAGTGGTCATGACGGGGGAATACGCTGTAGCATAGCTAGCTACGCTAGGAGCAGTGCTCGGAGGAGGCATAGGGGGCATAGGGTGCATTGCCGGCTGTACCGGCGGCGTCGCGTGTGGCGTCGCGTGCGGGGATATCATCGGCGACATATAAGCGTGGCGGGCGAGGGGCTGGTAACTTTTGGTGATGCAGATTTCTGGACGGGAGAGGCGACCTTGGTTAATGGCGATGCTGCCTTTGATACAGGAGAGGCCATCTTCTGGACTGGTGAAGGATTCTGTAGCATGGACAGAGGCTCTTGATATACAGAAGCGACCGGCGGAGGTGTTGGTGCAGGTGGGATGACTTCCGCAGGAAGCTCGGCTTCCTGCATCGACGAAACGGTTTCATCCATAGGTGGGGCTGCCTGAGGTACAGGTGAAGCGGGCTTAGGAGCCGGCGAAGCGGCTTCAGGTGTAGGTGCAGCGTCCCTAGGCACAGGTGAAACAGCCCTAGGTATGGGAGAAGCGTGCTTTGGCACAGGAGAAGCCAGCTTGGACACAGGCGGGGTAGGTTGGCGGGCGGGGGAAGTAGGCGCTGCCTCAACTGCCTCAAAGGAGGGGTCAGATACAGGGGTTGCGTGTGACTCAATCTCTGGAGCGTCGGTCTTTGTGGGAGATGCAAACTCAGCGAATTGAGTCTCCGTTGCAGATGGGGTCTCCACGGAAGTCGTGGTTGGGTCCGTTGAGAACAATGGGGTTTGTGGTGCTGTCACTGGGGTCGGCTCAGGTGGTTCGACAACTTGCTCCTTTGATACGTCGATATTCTCCGGAGTAGTTTCAGCGGCTTCCCCAACTGGATGTTCTGGTATGTCTAGTTCCTCTTGGTGCAATTCTTGAGGTACTTCGGGGTCCCGCTGGACATCACTCGCGTCTAGCTGCTGACTTGAGGAGAGGTCGGGGGTAGTCACTTGGGCAGAACCATCCTCTTCAGAATTGGTCGGCGGTTGGGGTTGCTGTTCGGGTTCAGGGGCCGTGGGAATTTCTTCCACAATGGCCTGTGGTTCTTGCTCCACCTCTTGCGCTGGCACCGGCTCTGGCTCTGGGACTGGCTCCGAGGCAACTTCTGGTACGACTTCCGCTGCGACTTCAGGTGCAACTTCGGGTGCTGACGGTGACTCGGGTTCCACTGGGGCTTCCACTGAGTTTTCCACTGGAGCCTCCAATTGTTGGGGCTCGGCTTCGATTGCTCCTTCTGGCTGTAGTTGCAGCTGTTGTTCTTGTTCTTCTTGTTGCTGTTCTTGCAGCTGCTTCTCTGGCTGTTCCTCTTGCAGCTGTAGATCAGATTGTTGATCTTGCAGCTGTTGGTCAAGGAGCGGTTGGTCTTGCAGATCTTGATCAAGTGGTGGTTGATCTTGTGACTGTTGGTCAAAGAGTGGTTCCTCTGGCAGCTGTTGATCTGGTTGTTGATCTTGCAACTGTTGGTCAAGAGGCGGTTGGTCTTGCAGTTCTTGATCAAGTGGTTGTTCTTGCAGTGGCTCCGATGATGGATCTTGCAGTGGCTCCGCTTGCTGGTCTGGGGGCTGTTGATCTGCTTGTTCTGCTGGAGGCTGGTCTTGGGATTGATCTAATGATTGATCTATTGGTTGCTCAGGCTGTTGCTCTGAGGCCTGCTCTATGAGTTGGTCAGGTTGTTGGTCAGTTGTTTGCTCCGCTGCTTGACCAGATGGCTGTTCGGGTTGTTGTTGTTCTTGCAGCTGTGATTCAGCTAGTTGTGGCTCCTGAGATTGTTGTTCAGCAGGCTGTTGTTCCTCTGATTGTGGTTCAGGAATAGTAACATCAGGTGCAGCCGGTGTTTGATTCTCTGGCTCCTCTTGGGTCTTTGACTTCTTATTATTTTTTTTGCTACCGGACTTGCCCTTTCCTTTCTTGGATGGGGCCATGATGGAAAAAATATTGCGTGCCCAAGTTCAAGAAAAGGAAAAAGACGTGTTACCAGTAGGCTAAAAAAGCCTGTTAGCAAAAACGCAATTGGGTGGTGGTTGGGGTGTGAAGCAATACATGAAAACGCGCTCAGCGGCGCCAAAGATATATTCCGATCTGATATGGAGAAAAGATGACAACTCGCACGGGGGGGGCGAAGGGTCAAACGATCACACGACAGATACAGGGAAGAAAGTCAGAACGAAAAAAGTAATGCGAGAAAGAAAATTCGCCCTAGAGCAGGGAAGCCTGGAAGTGGGCGCAAATGGTTGCAATCCACGAAGTCAAGACGCCCGATGGTAAATACCTGCGCTGAACGCAAGCAGACAATTCTGGAAAGACAGGACAGGACAGATCTCAACTCGTCAAATAAATAATTTGGATTTCTGAGGAATCGGAACTAATTAAGACATTAGGCGAGGCAGTGAAAAATACGCAGCTAAGAATCTATCCTAAAACACGCCCAAAAAAAGAAACTCGCTGCAGAATGGAGGCATTGCATCCAGCCTCAAGGAGGCTGGTAAGGCGAACAAACGGACCGAACCTTAGAACAGTAATTGATACCCATTCAACATGGATCACAAAGGCAGGAAAGGAAAGAGTATACATTTCTCGCGCGAAACGAGGACACAGAGGTGGACCGATCATTTCAAGATGGGGAGAGAGTATCACCCAATGAGTGAGCATTGGGCATCAATAGCACTGTTTTTTCCAGGGTGGCAGGATGAATCATAGCGTGCAGATGAGGGAGAAAAAAAAGACAAGGAAAAAAAAGTGTTGCATACAGTCATAATACTATCATCTATGACAGGACGGAGGAATCAGTCAAAGTCGGTCGAGGAGGCAGGTAACGAGTGGGTCGAAAGCGCTAAAATCAGATCGATGACATGTCGCCTCTGATAGCCAAACGTTCAGACGCCTGCATAAATTGGGAGGGACCGCAGCCCAATTGACACCATGCGACTGGGGAACAGTGGGGAGCGCCATCTCGGAATGAGGCAGTTAGTCGTGCATCAGGACCACCTTCAAGTGCGGTGTAAAGAAAAACCACCATTACTGTCAAGACAACGCAGCGACCCGCCCGACTTGTTGCAGGAGGCAACATGGTGGTGTAGACCCATGCCACTAAGGCCATTTCTCCCCAACGCTGGTTTCGAATAGATTTCGTTCCATGCTCCGGGATTCCCTGTAAAGTATCCGAGCGAGGCGAGACTTACATTCTATTCGGAGTCCGCAGCGTTTTGGGCTGTTTGAGCGGCATATTTGTTGTCACCGGCCAAGAGGATGTAGATTCGAGAAAGGAAAATAATCATGCTTCTCATTGGCAGGTGACCGGCGTCCCGGCGCCAAGTCCCGCGAGGACACTAAGCCACATTAAGTAATTCTCACGTGATATCCGCCTCGAACCGCTCACCAGCTTGCGTTCTTCCTCCAAATGGACGGCATCATATTCGTTTGGCCCTGCCAATTGTCTTCCTCCACACTATGTTCTTCGCTAGGCGATCGGCTGCTTCCGCGCGGCTACTGCTGCGCAATCAGCCCCAGCGGCGATTCGACTCGCACGCGGCTCACCACCATGCTGAGCCTGTGAATGAGAGCTTCGGCGTACGTCTCTTGGACCCCTCTACAACTGGATATCTTCGCTGGTAGCAGTAGGCTGCTACCCGCCAATTGGGTGCTGTGACTAACATGGATCTTTGTGACCTGTACAGCGTAGCTTCTACGTCACCGTCGGCTCCTTCGCCTCTGCCTACGTCCTTTACCGACTGAGCAAGTCCACCGAGGAGTCTGGATCGCAATCGTGGATTTCCAGCCTCATCCAAAAGTGGACCCCTTCGGAGAGATTTTCGAAGAGAGAAATGCCATTCGCACTGTCGTAATGGAGAAGGCTGCCCATGACCGCCACTTGTTCCAAAGTCAGGGCCCTAGAGCCGTTTTCGAATTGAAGCAGCCCGAGTATGTCTCCTATAACCGCACCTGCTCTTGCAGACCACAAGCTAATATGACTTGTTTCCTCCCCCCTCCAGGGTCAGCTTCAACGCCGCCCCTCCTTTCAACGTCCCTGCCGGCTCGGCTATGGATATGAGCCATGTTACCGCACACTATGAGCGCCAAAACAGGGAGCAGGAAGAGGCCCGTGTTGCCCGGATGCAAGATGGCAAGGTTGTCTCTATCTATGATTAGACAAATTGATTTCGTTTTCATGTTCCAAGACGCCGGTAGTAGGCATGACAGGGTCAAACAATGTACATATAACAGGGCAGTGCAAGGTTTCGTTGACAGTTTCATTGAATTCCTGACCCTATCGCGGGAAGAAAACCCCATAATCCATAACATAGTTCCCGGACAAGGTTGACCCTCCATCACGGTATCTGTTTATCTACCATTATTGGAGACCTTTGGGCGCAATCTCCAGGACTATTCTACCCACTCCTTCTGACTTAACATCCAGCCGCTCCCTCACATCCAGTCCATCCCCGCCGACAGTATTAAATACTTCCAAAAATTCGTCCACACCACCGCCGACTCCGAAATAGACTTTCTTCGCAGCCAACAAAGCCCTACTTCTCTTGCCTGCGTGGACAGGACGATGGAGCAAAGCCAGCAATGTCTCCGAAAACGCACTCAAAGACGCCGGGGAATATATCGTTTCACTAGCAAGAATTAAAGTTCCACCATTGGCCTTCTCAGTCGACGAGAACGCCAAATCAACGAAAGCGGGCGACCAGGCACCGGAGATAAATTCGACAGAGATGCCCCGTTCCGCAAGATCCTTCTGGAAAGCCTCTAAAAGTTCCGGAGTGATGTCCAACTCCAGCTCCTCCTCAACCTGATCTTCCGTCCCAGCAACTGAATCCGACTTCTGACGCATGGCAATATAATTCCAAGTCAGAAGCAGGTTAGGCAAAGTCACCAACCGAAGAACAACAGAGTTGTAGTCCGCAAACGTGAACCGAGTAGCTCGTGACGACCCCCCAGGGTTGGTCAGTAACTGCGCGAACAGAGCAAGCGACGGCACTGCCGTTCCAGCTCCAAGCTAGAGATTCTTTATCAGGAATTGGTTCAACAGACGGGGTTAAGATTAGACGTCAGATGTAACACTAACCTCGATGATATGTCGATCCCCCGCATCAGCGTTAGATAGTATGTTTTCATTGGCAACCAACTTCGCGAGATCTACTGAGCATTCCCACGTCTTGAAACCGCCTTCATAGATGTTGGGCGTGATATCTCCTTTCTCGAGTCCGGAGATCAGCTCTTCGTTCGCATAATCGGCAGTATCCTCTGCCATCAATTGGGTACGGATGTCAAACACTTCGCGACGAGCGAGTGTGAGTGTCCTTGCGGATGTTTTATCATCCTGAGGTGTACTAATGTTGAGTTTGTTGAATGAAACCTGAGACGGGAGACTTGAGAGCTACAGCATGGTCAGTCTTATTGCTCAACCCATGAATCGTATTCTTATCTGAATAGAAGGACTAGAGCTGGAAAGTTCCTTCGCATCCGGATAAGGTACCATTGGCGAGGGCCAAACATCAATGCCAGTTAAGGTACATCAACATGAAGATGAACCTACCAAATCACTCAATTCATGCCTCTGGGCCGGAACCAGTTCAGGGAGTGTGCTGCTACTATTTTGCGCAACGAATGTATGCCCCTCATCAACAGTGTTCAATTCCGAGTCGTCGATGTCAATGTCGTCCCCAGCGAAGCCGAAGCTAAATGCGGACGCCATTATCACAGACAGTGAAGATTGTCACGACCAGACCCCACTAAGATGTAGCCAAAAGCTATTGGAAGTTATGCCGATATAAAATACAAGCGCGGGGCACGCATAGATAGTGTCGGAATAGTTGTAGTTTGATAAGGGTTTAGGGCGCAAGCAAGATCTTGAGGAGACAAGGTTTTGCGGGAGACACCGTAGGATTTGCACAGATATTCCAGGGGCTCTGACTCCAATTTTTAAATGTTCAGTAGCTATAGTCTTGGGGCCTGCTTCAGCCTTCAATTGTGCTCTAAATTTTTTGCGGTTTTGCCATAGATGACTAAGCGTGTCTAGGTGATGCTGTGGCACAAGTCATTTACTAGTATCTAACCACTCCTTTGCACGTTCAATATATCTTTCATATTATCTGGACTGATTGGGGCATTTACATAGTCTATGAGATATGGCTTGTTTGAGAAGGACCAGGAAAGAGAGCTGAATTGTCATGACAGAAAGCAAGTTCGTGTGAAGAGTAATCCGTGTCGTCGTTAACTTGTTCTATGAAACGTTCTAATTTCTCTATTAAATTAACTGAATTAAGCGGTGCCGTTCTGTTCACCGGAGGCGGCAGCTTTCTTAAGGGCCTGGAGAACGTCGGCCAGGAGATCCTCTGCATCCTCAACACCACAGCTCATGCGGACCAGGTCGTCGAAGACACCAGCAGCCTCACGCTGGTCCTTGGGGATACCGGCGTGAGTCATGCTAGCGGGAACCTCGCAAAGACTCTCCACACCACCCAAACTCTCGGCCAAGGTGAAGACCTTGGTGTACTTGCAGAAAAGGTGAGCAGCCTTCTCGCCACCCTGGATGCGGAAGCTGAGCATACCGCCACCCATACCCTGGCGGTGCTGCTTGACAGCAATCGCACGCTGAGGATGAGAATCGATGCCGGGGTAGTTGACGGAGATAACATGGGGGGAAGCCTCGAGGGCCTTGGCGATAGCGTGGCGTTGGTGGTGGCCTCGCGGGCACGCAAGTGGAGAGTCTTAAGACCACGGTGAGCGAGCCAGCAGTCGAAGGGAGAAGGAACAGCACCAATGGCGTTCTGGAGGAATCCAAGGCGCTCTTTTAAGCTATCGGAGTTGAACGCAGCGACGCCCATCAAAACATCCTGTCTCGTGGTTAGCTAACAGACCACCCACAAAAAATAAAATAAAATAAAAATAACTCTGCGCTAAAAGCAGAAGGGCGAGAAACATACCGAATGGCCGTTGATATACTTGGTAACGGAGTGCACGACAATGTCGGCACCGTGATCCAGAGGGTTCTGGACGTAGGGACTCATGAATGTGTTGTCAACCACCACGACGATTCCATGGCGATGAGCAATGGCAGCAACCTTCTCAATATCGACCAATCCCAAAGTTGGGTTTGAGGGAGTTTCGATCCACACGAGCTTGGTCTCCGGACGGATCAACTTCTCCACGTCCGACTCGATGGTGGGGGTGAATGAAACATCCACACCATGGGCGTTGGCAACCTTTGTGAAGTACCTGTGAGTTCCACCATAGACATCGGAAACTGAGACGACGTGCGAGCCGGCCGCGAGGGATTGAAGGATCACCGCAGTGGTTGCGGAACCAGAGGAGAATGCGAGGGCATATTTAGCGTGCTCAAGAGCTGCAATGGCTTCTTCGAAGTTATCGCTGATCGGTAATTAGCATGAAGATCAATCATAGACCAAGATCTGTTCCGAGTAGGGTACTCACCGGTTGGGGTTGGAGCTACGTGTGTACTCGTAGATACCTACAGGGCTGCCGACACTGGTCTGAGCGAAAGTGGTGGAAAGGGAGATCTACACAACCCGTCAGCATCTCGGAAACAATTCATGCAACGTGCGAGAACCTACAGGAGCAATAACAGCGCCAGTCGTAGGGTCATGGTGAGCGCCGGAATGGACGGCCAAAGTGCCGAAGCGCTTCTCTTGAGCAGGGGCTCCGTTGGTCGAGTTGGTCATTGTCACGGGACTGCGAACGTGATCGCGTGGTGTATCTCTATATAAAATCGCAAAGAAAACGAAAAAGATTCAAAAGAATCCGACACAGTAGACTCGTACAGGAAGACGACGTTTTTTTCTTTCTGGAAGCCCGATAGAAGCGCCTATGAGGTCACAATCTGCGAGAAGGAAGATCTAATAAATAGTAGTCTGGTTTTTGTACCGTTTTCGTGACCAGGTACTGATTTATAATTGATACGAGGGCAAACTGAGTAAGATCGGTGAAGCCGGTTTTAAAATTAATTAGGATTTATTAACGATGACTCTAGAACTAATTTTACCCCCCTTTCCTCCTGAAACCCGAGGGAAAAAAAATTCTGTTGCTTGGACAGAGGTTTTTTTACGTTGCACATCAATCATGCTGAAGCACGATAGGGCAGGGACTGATCGGGCCCCGTGAAGATTTCCGGCATAGCGCCGAGTGCAACTCCACCGTGAACCGTTGATTGTCCCCTCCCGTGGCGGTGTCAATGCAATTTTCTTTATCTCCGCCACTACCCGAATTCGATTGATAATGATAGTCTAGTAGCCTTACTTTATGTCCTCTGCATACAATTAGCTACAAGTCTATTTGAGTATGGCGATCTATTTGGCGGGGAAATCATCCTGTCTTGGTCAGATCTCTCCTTCTCCAATACTCCAGAATTCTCTCGATGGATCTCCCATTTCCGGCCAAATGTCGTCATTTGGCTGATTTGTGAGCAATCACTGAAATCTCGATGTTAAGATAGTTTCGTTATTCGTGTAACCATGGAAATATACATAGTCCAACCATTCCATCAGAAAAGGTATCTCATCACATAAGCACGGGAAGTAAGGGGAACCAAGAAAAGTGATTCTTGCTGATTCACGTCAAGCATGCACATGACCCATTCGGAGCATTACCACCAAGAGACAGGTCCCAGACCAGCCATTTGCATCGATCCCTGGGGTATCGTTAGTAAGCAAGTCAGGAGACACCGGGGAGAGAGTTCATACAATAATAGAATACGGGGGCTTTCGTTCGAGAGCGGCAGCATCTCCTAGATCTGGCGCGTTGGGTATTTGGTCATGCCACTCTTCTATCTCAACGCGGAATCGGACAACTTCTCCGATATCAAAATAAAATGTGGAGCCGTCCTCGTTTTCCCAGATCCAAACTTGATCAGCGTAATCACTGTAGCATGTTAACATAGATGACTAAGAACCCTGGGCATATCAAGGCAGCTTACAATCTGGCGCCGTCCAAAAGAAGGTTTGGAGGTACGAGAATGTCATTGAAAAACTCTACAGCAACTGTGATCGGTCAGTATAAGCACCACAGGGGTCAATTTGAGTTTGCCGTACTTTTAATACCATGTTCAGTAGCGCTGGAGATCTTGCCCAACATAATCTCTCCTTTGAAGGGGCGGAACACAATGAGGCGGAACTTGACTGTCTCTCAATTAGTGAATAGACTCTCTTTCAGGGATTCAGCATGGATGTACCGTTCACATTGACTAAACCAGTGCCATGACCGATAAGACCGTCCGAGGACTCCAACAAGTCGTAGAATCCAATGCACAGGCCAACTTTTTGAATGACCTTTACACGATTACTGTTAGTACAAGCTGCGCAAGCGAGCATGGCATTTCGGATAGGAAACCGTGCGTACTTTATTTGCGTACTTCTCATTGATATTGTCCTCGATAGCGATAGAGCTATACTTCGAGAAGTCTTCTGGGGAGATCTGGATCAGATCGGAGAGGGTAGTCTGTATGGTCTAGTTAGCTTTTGCCTTGGAACTGAAAAGGCTTCATTGCAAAGTAAGCGAAAGGTCTTAGGCGACTGACAAGAATGAACATGGTGCATTCAATTAGTAGGTATTTGGCGGTAGATAAAAAAAAAGTCTTCTATTTCAATACGATTTGGTCCCACGGCGGAAAGATAGAGCACGACGAGTAAATTCCATTGTCAGATCAAGCATCAATATTCCGACTCGCAGGCATTATAACTCATGCCTCCATATTTATGATAGCAGAGAACTTATTATAATAATAGAAATATCCCTCTGAGAAACCAACAAATTGATTCCGGCCAATCGCAGACTGCGGATCATCTCTGATATTTTTTTGCCGACCAGATCATGGCGCACGTGACTTCTACGCTTTCCCTTTTTGTGCTCGGAACGGAACAACAGCGCCTCAGTTGCTTGATCTGATGAGCTCGGCACTTTTTTCCAGATGTCTAGGATGCTGTGAGGATGGCGTTGATGCTAATTCTCTTTGGAGGTCTACTGAGGTCCTCTCACGATGAACTCCCAGGGCTTCTCTTTCCCCCCTCCGCCTCCTCCTCCTCCCACTCAGCAGTCGCAGTATAACCAAAACCAACCTGCGACTTTCCCCTCACAGTATGGTCCAGGCCATCATGGCCAGCGAGGCGGACGTGGCGGCCATAATAGAGGCCGGGGTAGGGGGTACGGAAATCGAGGAGGTCGAGGAGGGTCATACATGCCCCATGCGACGAATTCGTCAAATATGGCTACGCCCCGATGAATTATTCTGGCTATGCAGGTCAGCCCATGGCCAACCCTCAACAAAGTATCCCGACGCCGCAATTCACGCCTTCGCGGACCGCCAATTACCAAGTTCCTCAAAGCACGAATTCATTTCCTCCTTCACGACCATTTCCACAGCCTACACCAACACATGGACCTTCGTACCAGCATCAACCTGGCTACTCAGCTTATGGTCCTTCTACCGCTCAGCAGGCGCCGACGTATCACTCCGTTACTCCAAGCCACCAGAACGCCCCCCAATCTGTGCAACCGTCGATGATGGGCCCGCCCATGCATTGGGGATACAATAATGCCAGCTCTGCGGGAGCGTACACTGGGCCTCCACATGGGAATCAGCGAGGTCCCCGCCCATACAATGCTTACGGCAACCAAGCTTCTAGAGGGGGTGGTGCCATGCCACATATGAAGCGCGATCATGCTTCAGCGTTTGGAAAGCCACAGAACATTACCCCGCGGGTTCCTGCGCCTCCTCCGGTTCCTAGCTTCGGCAATCCTTTACCGTCCAAGCCACCTCCGCCGGCTGACGCTACGAGAAAACCGAAGAAGAAGAAACGAAAGCACAACCAACTCGGCTTGACACCGAAGACGGAGGAACATGAGTCCAGCGAAGAGGAAGATGATGTAGACGAAGAATCGAGGCTAGCACAGGGTGGTGCTGGTGCTGCGGCAGCCGTGCAGTTTACATTTAAAGGACGCACTACTACCTTGCAGTCTCCTGCGGAAATTGCAGCATGGATTGAAGAGCGCAAGAAACGGTTCCCAACTAAGGAGAAAGTCGAGGAGAAGAAGAAGGCGATGGAAGAGGCGAAGAAAGCTAAGGAAGAAGCTCAGCGGCAAAAAGAGGCGCGAAAGCAAGAGATGAAGAAACCGCAGAAAGACCATCAGCAAACTCCTACAGATCCGATAGACGCAGCTGAGAAAGCGAAGCGAAAGGCTGATAAACTGCGACGGAAGCTCATGAAAGAGCAGAAAAAGGTCGAAAAGGCGGAAGCCGATGCTGAGCGGGCTCGAATGAGAGTCGAAGAACTACAACGAGGATCGACGGACGCTAACAAAGACGTCGCTTGTGCATCTACACAAGAAGTTCAAGCCCAGCTAGGTCCTGATCAGGAGACGAGATCGTCAGAGACTCAGGGTGATCTACTCGCTTCAGGAAATACTCCGGGTCAGGGTTCAGAGCCCAGCCATGATGTTGGGCAAGCATCCACTTCCGAATCCAAACCGAACGGGGAGGAAGTCATGGAGAATGTTAAGGATGATGCTGCTGTGTCTTCGGATCTTTCCGACAGCAGCGACTGGACTTCATCCAGCGGGTCGGACCTCTCTTCTTCAGACTCGGAGGACAGCGAGAGCGATTCCGCCCCTGAGGAGGCAACCTCTCGCCGTGAGGGCCCTGAACGAGTAGCTCCGCCTCCACGTGAAGCAAAGAAAAAGCTATGCCGACACTTTGCCCGAACAGGTCGTTGTCAGCGTGGAGACAAGTGCAAGTTTCTGCACGAGGCGCCGGATCGTGGGGCCAAGGCGAAACCTGTAGAGAAGAAGGGGCGTAAAGGCCTTTTACAAGCGGTATGCTTTTTTTTTTTGTTTCTATCATGAACTGGACTAACATACGAAATCAGCTTCTCGACCGTCAAAAAGGCGAAGACGACCGAAAAGTTATGGAAGCTATTGTATGGCTCGGCGAAAACGGCCTTCTTGACGAAACAAAGTCCCACGAAGAGTCCCTGGAAGGTGCGAACGAGAACTCTGCAATAGGTGAGGTAAAATCATCCCAAGGGCTCCCAGGAGATCCGCCATCATCAGAAGGCATGGTGTCGGCGGAGACAGGCGATAGTGCCCCGGCCACTGCTTAGCAAACGCTTGTTTATATTAGCATGTATATATACTTATCAGCAATCATTCTTAATCAAACTTTGACTGCCCGGTCTAAAGGACAATATAGGTTGATGGATCGGTCTGTTTCCAGGACGATGTACCATTGTACATGGTTCAAAATACACATGCACATATCTATGGTGGGTTCCTGTCATCCATTTAAGCACGCTATACTGGAGCGATGACCAATTTGTTATACCATCTAGATGAGCTGGAGCAAGATCTCATCGTCTAAACCGAATCTGAGAGTAGTAAGTTCAGTTTTAGAGCTTCAACTACGAATGACCCCATCTCGACCCGTAGGATAATCGCATAGGCGGCACTATTCCTCTTCATTTCTAGATGCATCGCCAAAACATGCCTAGAAAGTCGAGTAGCACCGACATTGAATTAATCTAATGGCCCATGCGCCACAACACTCAAATAAGCTTACGCAGGATCTACACGACTATCCTCATCGATCGATAAGGCTGAGACAGATCACGCAATTGCAGATCAGGGTCAAGTGGAATCTGCAATATACAATACAGCTAACATACCTATCTATCCATATATATCCTCTGTATATCTATTCTAACCTAGTAATCGCACCTCCATCACCCAGTCTTAACAAGTATAAAACAGTACAGACATGATTCACATAACCCGAACGCCAAAAACCTAACCAGCCATGCATCCTCCAGAACACCCCTGAAAAACCCAGCATGAATGTTATAATAGTAATACAAAAATAAATATATCTAGACAGGGAATGGAGAATGTCGCGTACTGACCGACGACGTCTTTGAGTCATTAACCGGAGTCAATTCTACGTCGGTGACTACGAACTTTTTCGAGTTCGGGTTGATGTTCAGGTCGCTTGTGGAGGGGAGGTGAATGAAAAGACGATCTTCATCGTCGGGCTTGTCTTCTTCGTTGATTGTTTTAACTCGGATGATTTTGTAGGGGGATGGGAATCGGATGGCGGAGTAGGAGTCCGTGCCGACTGTCTCGGTTATGAGCATACAGTAACAGAAGGATACGGGTGTAAAGAGGAAGAAAAAGGAAGATACGTACGCAACAGCCAGTAGAGATATTTGCTGACGATGGGAGACCAGATAGTCACGGCGATGATTTGACCGAAACTCCACGAGTCAAGCGAGGTCGTCGGAAGACTCCGCGCTATAACCAAGAAAGAATAGAGGAGGTTGGCGAATAGGAGAAGGAGCTCAATGATCACATTCAAAGTTCCGGAAAGAATTCTGACTCCTTTGGACACTAGCCACGGCTGGACGTGGTGGTAAGTTGCCTGAAACCATGGCTTCTGGCCGAGCCATCGCTTGGGATAGGGGGCGAGACGTTTCAAAAGGAGGAGTCCGTAGATCGCAATGCAACTGAAGTTCGCGTAATTGTCGGGCAGTCCGAAGGTCACACTGTTTACAATGCTGTAGTTTGGCCCGAACTCGGAATCCGAGCTACAGTATACGAGAGGAGGTGGGAAAAAACCACATTTGTTGAGACGATCTGCTGTCGCGATCTCTTGTAGATTGTCTGCTCGAGGCTCCATCTTGCATTGATGCAGCGTGACGCTAGACGTCACAATTGTGATGGCAGACCACACAGAGATATACCATGAATGCAAGCCAATCCTGTGGATTATCCATAAGCCGTACGTGATAGGAAGGATACCCATGAATGCAACAACTTTGACCATGGAAATGTTTGACTGTAGCTGCAACAAGCTAGATGCCTCGAAAACCTGTGGGCCAGCCGCAAGAGCAATCAGGCGGCGCACTGGAAGGAGAGCATGAAGAAGCATTGAGCCTCTTGGAACTCCACCAGCATGGACTTCAGGATCGAGAAGTGGTGCTGGCCGAACTGAATCTTGGCCGTGGATCGTGCCCTCGTCGTACACCGACGGATACATCGTGTGATTGCGGGGATGAGTTTCAGTATGAGAACAGCGAGATGGACGTATAGCAGGATGCCGGACTGCATCGCGAATGAGAGCAAGACCTGTGATTTACATGGGACGATAGCTGTTAGCAAGTCTTGTGAAAAGTCAATAGACAGTACCCTCCAGGTAGATGTACCCCCACACCGCCAATATCTTGATTCACGTCATTATCGACACTCCTACAGGTCGTGGTCTCAAATTCTGGTCTGGGGAGAGTGAACACGCGGTAGTAGTCGCTGGGAGGGTAACCCTTTAAATCACATCCTTCCAGCTCTGGATCTGGCACTTCACAGTACTGTCTGAGGCAGTCTCCGACGAGAGTTCCAAAAGTGCTATTCACGTTCAAACGATAGCCTTCTTTTTCCGCTGTCAGAGTAGGTCCGGAGGTGTCGGTGTGTTCGGGGAGACCAAAGATACTAAAGCACGTGGCCAAGTGGTCGAAGGATTGGAAGACCACCGATGGGTCCATGCAGGACGCCCCCGATAAATCGGATGGAATCCATTCCATGACCGGGAGGGAACAAATGAGATCGATATTAAGGTAGATTAAAGTACGAGTGACATTCTGGAAAGGGAGAAACCGTTGGCTGTCAAATTGAAGCTTAAGTTTTCTTTTTCATTCCGCTTTCCAGGAACCCCTGACACTTAAGTTTAAAACGTGAGACTATATTAATAGTCGATCCTCACGGGGAAGATGCACAGCCATTCCACCGTTTCGCGTTCTAAAAGATGATTTTATTGGGTGGATCGGAGGGAAAGGAAGAGAGTGAGACATCCGTCTGGGAACTATGACCCAATTGAGTGGTAGGTGTGGAAGATCATTAACTGATCGGTATGCCGAGTGGATGTGAAAAAGATCTTTCAAACCGGCAGAGCCGTTTGATGACCCGAATGTATGAGGTCATCATCCATAGAACGACAGTCCATCTGTGGCAAAGGTGAGGTTTTCCAAGGGTACAGAGCACAAACTACGATATGCATATCAACGAGACATGTCGATCGGATATAGACCGAGTCCATGCCAGATGCAGCGTACCAAGGTTTTAGCCCTAGTCCCAAAATTGGTCAGGAGTAACTTTCCCCCAAGCCCGGATTTGATTTTTCCAAGGAGACTTATTAATTCCGATGTTCGCCAAGTTCGCCTTTCTCGGCTTAGTGGCAGTCAATTCATACCACACTTTGACTGAGCGGGAACCAATCAAATGCCGAGCAGGCACCAGGTAGCTCTCTCCGGATCGACTGATGAACCATGAACAGAACCTTAGTTATTAGTACCGTGACATAATTATAATAAATCCTGTACGGTACAGATTCCATTGTACGTTGTTGACAAGTCCCGAGTTGAACAGGTCACCTACTATGGCTGCTCCCGTCGGGGGTCAACTGCTCGATCACCGACTCGGGACTAGTCAGGTACATCTCTATTTCTCGTACAGACACAATACCATTAAGAACGCTAGGGACGGAATCGGAGGTATCCGCAGAACAACTCTGCTTGGTGGAGCGTTGTTTAAGATTGGATGATACAATTTAAAAAAAAAAAAAAAAAATCAAAATCAAAATCTCGAGAAAAATTCTGGAAACTGTTTTTTTCTCTGATGGAGTGTGGGATCTCAGATGCAGCTTTTGCCATAATTATTATTAGAACACCATACAACAGCTTCTCTCCAACCCTTTCCCTGGACCCTCGGACCCTAGATACTCGGTATTGTTAATGGTCAGCAGTACCAACCGATTATTTACGGAGGTCCGATGGCACTGGGCAGGTGATCCCTCAACCAATCTGTTTTTTATTTTTTTATTTTTTCAGTAATTCCCCCCAATGGGAATGAAGAGTCGTTCTCCAAGTCCATCGCTAGTTTAGGACTAATGAAGTTAAGAGAAGGGGATCCGGACCGGCCTTTTATCGGTTTAGCCTCTCAATTGGGGTGACACTGAATTAGTGCCGGTCTTAGCGCTTGGTTTAATTTGCCCCTTCCCTGAGGTATTATTGTGATTATTATTGTGACCTGCACTGGGCTCCAGACCTCGTGGTTTCCTGTCATCGACCCCAAGATGCTACTAGTTTACTAGTACATAAGGTAGTCACGCCGTCGTGCAGTCCCTCCTTTTCCCTCCTTCTCTTTCCCTTTTCTCGAAATCGGACAGCCTTCATTCCTTCCTTTTCTGGGTACTCTTGTTCCTGCGTATATATCTACGCATAGTCCTTCTTTTTTTACTATCCTACTGAGTTCACTCCTTTAATCATCAAACTTACGTCGAAGGCTTTGCCGTCTCGCTGTATCTCACTTGCATTGCATATCATATCAACATCAACCTTACCTCGACATCTTCAATTACCCTTTTCGGATTATCCAATCGCCTTAAGAACAATTTCATCAAAATGCGTTCCATCTTCTACTTGACTCTCAGCGCCATGGCGTCTCTCGCTGCGGCTGCTACCGGCGCCAACCCGTTCAACATTCCCGCCGAGGGTTATTCGTTCGAGGCTGGTGAGCCGACTACGCTCAGCTGGAAGCCTACCACCGAGGGCACCGTCTCCCTGAAGCTCCAGTGGGGTGCTGTGCTGACTGCGAACACGGGTACTACCATTGCCAGTAAGTCTCCCTGAATCATGAGTAGTGATGTTCCATGTTCATGTATGCTGACGGTGTCTTCAGAGAACATTGCCAACTCGGGCAGCTTCACATGGACACCCCCTGCCAATCTCGCCGCTCAGCCTGACTACACCATTGAGATCTTCAACGACGATGATACCAGCGAGGTCAACTACCTCCCGCGGTTCACCGTGGCCGGTGCTACTGCCGCCCCGTCGACCACCGCGTCTGCCACCACTACCGCTGAGACTACCTCTGCCACCGAGTCCGCGACTGAGACGACCACCAACACCAAGTCCGCCACCGAGACTCACACCACTTTGACTAAGGCGACTGCCAGCACTGCCTCGGGCACTGCCTCAGCTACTGCCTCTGGCACCAGCACCGAGTCCACTAGCGCCTCTGCCAGCACCACCGGCACCTCGACTGGCTCTGCCTCGACCTCCACTGAGGCCTCCAGCACTACCTCCGCCAGTGCCTCGGCCTCGACCACCACCGTTGCCAGCGTCAATGGCGGTATGGTTAACCGCGTCTCCGGCGGCATGCTGGCGATCGTTCTGGGTGCCATTGCCGTGCTGTGAGCCTCCTACGGACTCCAGTCGGCCATCTGACCATACTTTATTAATCAGATAGTTAACTACTCTTCTATCGTTTCTCTTCGGTCTTCTCTTTTCTTTTATATCTTTCTTTTTTTCGTTCACTGAGCGGACGTGTTTTATACCCTTGGGTATCGAAGTTGTTTGTCTCGCACGTGAGTAAAGTCACGCTTCTTATCTCTTCTTTGCCTGGGCAGTGTTTTGGCCTAAATATTGTTATTACGTGATTACCCGGACGGACTGAGCCCCGGGGCCTTGTACGGTATGTACTAGTATGTAGATATGTGTATCCTGTAATGAATGACCAAGCCAGCATGCGAGCAATCGCATCGAGTTTTCCTTCCATGGATATCAGCTGAATCGTTTTTGTTTTGCGTATCTAGTGTAGGGAGTACAATGGTGCAATTTGGGAGATAAGTCAGAACCAGATTTCGGAGCAATTATGGGGTGGTTTCCATAAAATTGGGCATTGGACGAGTACCGACTTCGAGCCAGGTACAAGTCGGCGGTGGGTCCCATCGGTAGGTTGACAATCCAACTACTTGATAGTAGTCGTGGACCGTTGAAAAGGAACCCAAGGGTCCACCCGCCTTACACCAATAAGGTACCCTGTCCCGGGAAATTATCCCTGACGCGATACCACGGCTGTCCAGAAAACACCGATGACACCGTGTTACTAAAAATCCCCCTTACCGAGAAAAACCAAAAACCAAAATACGTTCCAGCCCCGTAGGTACCATACTCTTATCCAACGCCTTGTTTTTCGTTTGCCTCAAGGGGCACGAATGTCAGACAATCCACGTAGGAACCCTGAGACAGGTCTGGGACAAACCTGAAGTCCAGTTTTGCTCTCCGGCATCGGAACATCAAGGAGATCGCGATCATCCCTCCTGACTGTGATAGATTATCACTCGCCTTGCAGATTGGCCGATAAGAACCGAGACCAAGATAGAGCGGAGTCTGAATATTATTACGATGCACTGTCGATGAGAGGGGGATCAGCACTGTTTTACCGGCTAGTTCTCAAGGCCGTTTTTTTCTACCTACGGAGGACTCCGCTTCCCAATAGAACCTATAGGCCATAGCATACTACTAACAGGTCGCGTCTCCTGAACAGGTAAGAACAGAACACTTCAATGTCGACCTTCCCTTTTTTGAATGGTCGTCTCTCACGTTTGTCTTCTCGCGGGGGGAGGGGCAAAAACTTCGAGAGTGGCTGGTGGATCAGTGGGAATTACAGGCTAATTATTGTACTGAGAGAAGGGAGAAACCATCAGAACTTGCCCGTCTGGTCTGTCTTGATTCATGAAGTTGTGAACACTTTGGGAACGCAGAGCACATGATTGACTAATGAGTGTATGTGCTCCGTGTGCTGACAGTTTTGACATATGCATGTATTCCATATGTAGTAGTAAGTCAGTCTCAGGGTTTATCCGGTGGCTTCCGCCGTACATACACAAGGATTCGTGAAGCAGCCCTGTGGCTGTTCCTGGTGGTACAAGCTGAATGTAACACCGTCAATAAACATAAACTAGCATAAACAAAGAAAGAAAGGATCTCAGCTCCCAATCCTTTATTAACTGGGATCCAATTAATTCGATATCAATCCCAAGCAACCATTCACCCTATCATCGACCCGTAATATACCCATTAATCTAACTACTGAACTAACCGCAGGCAACAAGCTTCCCTGCCTATCTCAACGATTTAATTGTCAGATTATTCCAGAGATAATAGGATTCAAAATAAAATAAAATAAAATAGAAAAGATAAATATAGCCCCCGTGGCCACTTCAAGAAAAAATACTTGATGTAACCAGAACGAACGTGAAAAGTGGAGGCGAACAAGCTTTGGTTTGAGATGGACCATGAATATAGTTCAATAGTTTCCTGTTGGATTACTGCTTTCACACTAGGTTTGGGACCCCCGTGGTTGGCTTGGGCGAGGCGTTGTCGGATGAAATTTCTCACGGCGTTCTGGCCCTTGGCGGGGATGTTTCTCCGGAGCCGAGGGTGTGTCCTATTTTTGTCTTTTGAGGCTGAATGTGGACGATGGGTTTATTCTGATTCATTTATTTTTATTTCATTTTATTTTAAGCACTAGTAGCTAGGTAAAGACATGGCTAAGAGAGAAAATAGAAATTGCCAATGTGACTGTGAATGTGGTGGTTTGATGGCAGGATGAAAAGGGGAATTTTTAGTGGATTATTGGCTGCATCTGTGAGCGTTCGTCGGATGGATGGTCTACTTTTGGAGTACAGCACGGGCACCCTCATGAATATACTTAAGATTGTGAGCCAGAACCTTAAAGATACTCATTGTGGTGAGTCGAATTTCCCCCAACATGGGGTATAATAATACGGATACACTCTTCGCCTTCCACAGTGGATGTTCAGGGTCTGACATCAACCGCGGCTCCTCTGATTGTGCTGCTATTCAAAGCAGCAACGAGGTCATCAGTATTTACAATTGGACCCCGTCCAACGTGGCTGACCAAGGCGTTCCGCTTCCCGAGAGCTTGGAACTGTTCGCAAGCGATCATGCCCAGGGTTAGCGAGGTAAGGGGCAGAGTGATAACCAGTAGATCAAGACTGGCAAGGAACACGTTTAGTTGACCAGGGCCATGGTGCCATCGGGATGGAATGTCATTGGGATCACCCAGTCCCGCATCAACGTAGGACTTATCACGCTTAGACTCTGGAGCCGGGCGTTCGTGTAGTGTGAAAGTGTTACCATCCAGAGCGCATTCGCTAAGCGTGCGCACTGATGCCCAGTGCACCCGTATCCCAAGAATGCTCTCTTACACGATAAGAGAACCCTATCTGTTGTTCGCATTGATGGATGGTATACGCACATTCGTAAACTGCCAGAATCCTCCACGTCTTCCTCTGGTTCAGGTATAGCTCACGGCTCGGGGTTTTTGTTGTGCCAATGTTCGAACACTAGTTAGTCCTCCAAGATTAGTTCGCGCTGCACGCAGAGGAATCCACGTAGAGATTATAATGATGTTGGAAACCGAGCAAAGTAATCATAGCCCATTCAGCAATTTATAGACTCACGTTGTCAGCTTACGTGCAGGTAGAGACCAAACTACCACCTACAGATGAACACCGTTCGCCGTACAGGATGATATATCGCTGTCCTTGAAGAGGGGTGGCTACGATGCGGTTGCAACCGGCGGTGTGAAGTTGTATGTATCGCAGACTAGGAACTTATTCTTTTGCTGGGAGATAGTTTCCTGTGAGAAGAATTGTGGTAAGTTCCAGGTCTCCTGCAATATATCTCGAGCATCTCAAGGTCCGCTATGTCGCATCTATAAGTGATTACTTAGCCGCCGCGATTGATCGTTGGTAAACTCGAGGAGGGATGCTGAGAGATCTATGGTGGTATGATCAGCAGTACTTTTGGGATTTTGACTTTCTTCATTCTTGTGACTTGTTGGTTTGTGTGAGTATAGGCTGAGTAGAACGAGCCGCGGGCTGATCTCGGGCGAGGAGAATCATAATGTCGATGATGCAAAAGGGTATGCGGGTATGAGGATAAAAGCCCTATTAGAAACAATGTCTATAGTAAAAAGCGACGGACCGGGGAATGGCAGATCCATGATTCTTGAATATGGTGAATTGGCTGGTGCTCGCTACCACGTGGCTCAAGGTTGGATGAGACCACGGAAGACTGCCATTTCCTTGGTAGTTTCGAGCTGGTAGCAACTATTATGTGTGTATATGGGACGGGATGCCCAAATAAGCTGTGAACGATCATCAGTGGATAGCCTCAAAGCATGTCTCTTCATAGGGCTATTCCTCTAGATATACTTATCGGTAGATCTTCGGATTGAATCCTGGGGAGTGTCACTTGATATGCGGGGGAAAGGATCTAACCAGAATAGGAAAGTTGAATGAGAGCACGTCTACCCAGCTAAGCCCGAAATGGCCACCTTTGGAACATGTCGCAGTCTGCATCGTTTCTTTACGACCAACAACCGCGCCTGATGCAGAGAGCAACCAGTTACTATCGAATCTGGATCAGAATGGCATTATCTGACAGAGACATCTTACAGGTATGTTCTCTTTTACCCGAGGACCTCCATTAATGTGCAAACCTTGGGCTAAGCGCGACTTATCTAAAAGAATGACCCAGACCTGGACTTGGAGTAATCTATCACGAATATCGGAGTTACCCCGCCATTCCCGATAAGATCGCTCCGCTTCTCTTGCTGCATTGTTAGACCTACTAGTAGCTTTTGCCTGCCTATCCAACCTGGCTTATTGTCAATGATGCTTTGATTCAATGTTCCTATTGTTCAATCAAAACGCCCAGACCCAACAGTCAATATGCCACGTCAAAAACGTCGGTACGTTCCGAAGGTAAAAGGTGCGCATAGATGGAACTAGACAGACCAAATATATTGTGGGTTCTCTGACCGGATATGTGTGCAGGCTGCTATGAATGCTCCCAGCGCCGAATCCATTGCGATCGCGTACAGCCACGCTGTGGTAAATGTGCGTCCAGAGGCATACTGTGCAGTGGGCTTGGGATCCGCTACAGGTTCCGCGACGGGGGGAACCAAGGTAAGATAGCCTGGCAAGACGGCGATTCACCTCAGGGTGGGTATGTTTTTCCTTTGATGATAGTTTCGCCGAAGGTGACCATATTAACTGGGCTTGCAGTACATGGTCGGGTGATCTCCCGCAGCATCAACGCTCACCGTCCTTTCACCGTGGTTGTTCCTCCGAGGGGCAATTCGACTGGACCAGCAATGTCACAAATGACCCCGCAGAACCCAATGCATTAGCGGGACTGGGCCCCGATTCATCAGAAGCATCTACTGGTAGCTCTGATGCAAAGGCCGCCCTTCCCCTAAGTATCGATCTAGTAGATCCAAGCAATGAATTCCTGTTGACTTACTGTAAGCCTCATCGATAGACCCGATTGAAGTTTATATAGGATAATAACCCTTCAAGTCTCCCATCATATTGCGCCTCAAATGGTGGTTATGGATGACAAGTACAATGGATGGCGGTACTTGATCCTGCCTTTTGCTTTATCCGACAAAATGGTTATGGATGCGGTGTTGGCTGTATCAGCCTTCCATCTCTCTCACAAAACTAGAGGGACACTATCAGTCAGACCGGATAAGCTCTATGCAAAGGCAATCTTAGGGCTACAAAGCAGAAGCTCTTTGAACGAGTACGACATGCTCACAAAACAGTCTATATTCGTTGCGATCATTACACTCCTGGTAGGAGTCATGGTCAACGGATGCTCAGACTTCCCTATTCTGTTTAACATGTTACAATCTGCTCTCGATGCGGTCGGTGGAGAGGGCGGTCTTGGGAACGGTGACATGACTGATTTTCTGCTGCGGCAAATACGCAAGTAAGCATCCAAAGCCTCCAGGAGTTGCTGAGTACCGTCATTAATCCTGCCAGGTTTCGTGTCTACGCTGCACCACTACTAAGTGAGGAAGCTGGTGTGCGTAGTATTGTGGCTCATGCCAAAGAGAGCTTTGACTGCCTACACTACAATGGCAACCTCCACCCCGACCATGCACTCACCTTCTATCTGAATGCGTATCTTCGGCAGCAAGCTTATGACATATACCTAGAGCGCGCTCTAACGGGGCCTCATGGCACATTAGACCCTGAAAAGATAGAGCGATTCAAGGAAACATTAGAGTTGTTCCCAGAGGGATCATTAGGAGAACATTCCCTGGTATGGCCCACGTTCATTGCTGCATCAGAGAGCTTGAAGGATGAGCATCGGCTATATTTCAAGCAGTTCTTGGAAAAGCAATTTCATCGTAATGGGTTCCTTAACCTACAGCAAGCTCTCATACTTCTTGAGAAGATATGGGCGCGAAGCAGTTATACAAATTGGCCCGCACTTCTCCCAGAACCACGAGTGTTTATTATGTAGCAATTTCATTATAGACAAAAAGCGCTGTACGATCAGGACCCTAAGCAAATGGTTTACCGCATCATCCGGATTAAATACATACAATACCACCGATTCGATGTTACAGCTAACTGACAAGAAAGCAAGAGCCAGTTGACAGTCGTAAGAGGGATCTGAGCCAGAGACTATCCATAACACACCAACATCTATGTATAGTTCACCATCTCTTACTCGTCATCTTTCCCACTGCAGCCGTCAATCCGTCAGCAAAATTGCAATTGAGTCTGTGTCCCAAGCAAACAATGCTCCATTGGTGGTCTTTTCAGACTATCAGCCAGGCTCATGCCTCAGGTAGTGAGAGCAATGACTGAGTCAGATACTCTTCATAACTACCCCAGCAGATCCTGCTTCCGAGGCTCGCATATACTCTGCAGCCTCTCTGACCCTGCCCTAGCTCTTGGTTGTGGATAGGGAGAACCGGACATCTGACATTCTGTACCCAATGGCCCCCATGAAGACATACAGATATTGGATCTTTCTTACCTCAGCGGTGCTGAAGATGGCGGGCTCTTCAGCGGATTCCGCGACCTCCGCGAAGTACAAGAGGGGCAAAAAGTGTGGCACCGTCCCACACAATACATACCAGGTTAGGATAGTCCAGGGTCCCACTCTCATACGGCTATTGACGCAGTGGTTGGGGAGACACCGCAATGGTCCAGAACCGGGAACAGTGTATTATCATTTTCCTGGGTAGAACAACTCAGATGCATGACTGATCCCTCGCATCTATCCTTAAAAAAGTCAGAAATCATGATGCTAGGGACCGGAAAGATAAGTGATTGGCTATGGAAAGTTCACGCGTCGCTGAGATCCGGTCAAATGAACGAGCAAAGGTCTTAGCTCCGTCTCTATATGAGCCGGTGAAATATACGCTCAGGTAATTCTTACGCAAAGAGGCAAGCCGAATGAGATCTTTACCGGGTGCTGATGAGCACCTTGTGCTTTCCATGTCACTAAACCACACTTCTCGCTCATTTCCTTGTACTGGTTAGCAAAGCGTTCCCATTATGAACAAACTACACGCTCGGGATGTGATTGGTTCTGAAAAGGGCACAATTGTAATGTGGTTGGAGGAGATGCGAGTGTGTTGATGTTGAAGTGAAAACTTCGGAAACGGAGTTGAAGCTGTACTTTAGCGTATGTGCTACTATGTGGAGTTGAGCGCTCCGAGAAAGATAAGAAGCCAAGGGACCACCGCGAGAATACCAGCAAATTCACTGTTCTGGTCTAACCTACCTGCTCTGCCTACCCTGTTTCATCACGTCCCAAATCCAAGAACAGTCCGGCATGACGAATATTGCTATTGCACCAGCTGTGGCTCCAAGCCCTCAACAGGACAGACCCATGAGTCCCCGGAAACCTCTCCCACAGTCTCTCATTAAAGGTGCGCAGATCCCAGACTGGGTACCATTTGATGCAGAAAAACATGCCAATTTCAAGTTTCCTCAACGGATAATCACCATGAAGGATATCGGATTGGAGGGTGTGGGCATCACGTCCACGGCCATCTCGGAGCCGTTGACACTTTTCACTATAGAGGCAATTAGGCAGATGAGGGCCGAGATATTCAGCCGGCAAGTACTAGAGAAGTATCAGGTTGGTTCAGACTTAGCAACCAATATGATCCGAGGTTATTGCCCAGAGTACGTTGTTCCCTTCGCTCTCTCTTCAGAAATGCTGCTAATACACACCTAGGAAGTCTTCATTTATATATGACGCCTGGAACAGCCCAGCAGTTTTGGGAGCACTCTCTAATATAGCTGGAATCGAGCTGGTTCCTGCTATGGATGTAGATATTGGACATGTCAATATCTCAGTTCGTGATGACGCTGCAACTACCAGCGCACCCGACAGCGATGCAGATGATAAAGTTGCTTTTGAGTGGCATTCTGACAGCTACACATTCGTATGTGTCACCATGCTGTCAGATTGCGCCGGGATGATCGGTGGCGAGACGGTTATCCGGACAGGCACTGGCAAAGTTCTAAAGTTCCGTGGACCTGCATGGTAGGAGACTTTATTCTGATTTGGACGGCCCCACGGCTAATCTATGCAATCTAGGGCACGGCTGTCATTATGCAAGGTCGTTATATCGAGCATCAAGCTCTCAAAGCCTTTGGCGGCCGGGAACGTATCAGCATGGTCACATCTCTAAGACCTAAATCGCCCTTTGTTCGCGATGAGACAAGTATCAGACCCCTGTTGCCTATAACTCCCAGGAATACGCTTTACTATCAGTATGTGGAGTATCGGCTGGAGAACCTGGAGGAGCGAGTGCGTCATCTGTTGAAGGTAATACGGCAGCAAAAGAAGGCAAATCGTGACTTTGACGTTGCCTCGGCACGCAAGTTTCTGTTAGAAGAACGGGACTTCATTGATGCTATGTTAGAGGAGCTGGAGGATTCGTAAACTGTTTAACAGCCCAAATAATCAGTTGACGCTTGTTACGACATACATTTACTTGGCATTCATCGCAAACGTGTTAAGTGTCGTCTTCATTTCGAGCCAGATACCCAATCATGATGCAAACTCAGCCCAACAGAGTGTATAGTTCTCAAAGGTTATATTCAATTCTCTATGCCTTATTGGCCTCGCAAGAAGACGTACTAATGTAAGAACCATACCCCATCGATCAAAAGCCTGCGTAACTATATTAATAACATAAGCCTGTCCGACAGTCAGAGGCCGACGATATCCGAATGATCTCAGGCATCCTTCCCACAACGCGTCAACATCCTGGGACGAGTCGTCGCGATCAGCGTCTTATTGGCCTATGTATGAGAAGTGGATTTTCGCGATTTGACGCAAGTCAAGCCATACTCGGCTTGTAATTGGCCCTGCCTGCGATTGTCATGGCCTGAAACGTGGCTCGGAGAGACACGATGACAGGGTTGTTCTACCTAAGACCCCGTACCCACCACCTATGTCGTAGACAACTTCTTCCCTCCATGATCAACACCGAACCTGGAACAGGGAGAAGAAGAAGAAGAAGAAGAAGAATACGGCGAAGATGCAAGACCACCCGTAAACATCTCGGCCAGAGAAGTCGGCTTGAGATAGGCTGCAGGTACATTGTTTGATGCGGAGGGTTTCTGGGCTTGAGGCGATATGATCTGGACGGATGACAACGGGTCATTTGACGGTGGTGAGGTCGGAGGACATAGTTTGGTTTGGAGATTTGGAGATTGAGAAATGTAGGGGGAAAGAAAGTAGAGGTCCCAAGTGGTGGACTGTGTGTGGTGTGTTTAATAATGTACTATGGTTATGGATGAGGACCAATTCTACTAAGTCGTTGCCCGGCGTTGGCTCATGCACTCACTACCTTCGTTCGTTGGGCTGTCTTGGAACAGCCTATGTTGCGAAACCTGTGTACCTAGAGCTTCTCATAGATACTTCTTGACTGCTGGTTTGAGCATGGAGCTTTGAGAAACTTCACAGATGGTCACAGATTGCTTCCCAGGGCCATCCATGGTAGCAGAGGGAATGCAATATGTATAAGTGGGTACGAAGTTCTTGATCTCCCCGTCAGACGGCGCCCGGATTTGTTCGGTATATCCCAGGTATATTGTAAGTTTCATGAGCCATATCTTCGTGTGAGTTTGTGGTTGCAAGAGAAATCTGATATAGTTCCTGGGAAATGTTATTGCCAGGAACATCTGTGGCTATACGGAAGGCTGGGTGGATGAAGTTATAAGAGTCCAAATCAGATACGGTGTAGAAGTGTCCAGTATAAAAAAAAATACTTTGCATATTATAATGGAAATCTATCAACAACTGATGACGCTAATAATACCAAGAAATCAAGGTAAAAGCAAAGGGGAATCATTAGTGCAAGAAAACCACCATCAAGCCGTCCACTGGGGACTGACTCTCTTGATAAACTTCATAAACTTCCAGAACCCAACGGCATGTTCGACATTGCCGTAGGGATCGACCACTCGTTCCGGGAACGCAATTCCTGCTCCATGCAAACCCGGGACGACACGGCCAGTCGCATCATGGAAACCACCGGACACCGAGTCAAATTCAGGGTCGAGGAGATGGCCATTCACTGACAGCTCAGGAAGGGGGTCCCGAGTAAATCCTACGGCTTGCACCAGGTGAGTACACGACGGCAGATGCCGCTCATACTGCGCCGCTTCCTGGCCGCCTCCACAGTCCACCTTGGTGATGAACCGACCAGCTTCAGAATGAGGGAGTTTGTCCTCCTCCAGCTGTTGCCGGGCAAAGTCGGCGGCGGACCCCTTCAGGCCAGTGTTGTCCCGCAGGATCCAGCCATCCATGTACTCCGCATACCTCAGCGGATGCCGGGTGAACCACTTAATGCGGAGCTGGGGGTGGGTACTGTGGGCCAGATCTACCAGGTTGAGGAGCGCCAGGATAGCACTATGGGACGCTCCGACAACCCCCACAGTCTGGGGCTCATTGCGGGGAAGATACGAGACGAGGTCACTAGGTTTGAGCACTACATCTAGATCCAACCTCTCGATGTGCTGTCCACATACCGGGATCGGTACCTCTGTCGGCGACGATCCCGTACACAAGATGAGTCTAGGGGTAATGACCTCAACTTCGTCGAGGTGATCCGCGCGTTGGATCCGAACGGTCCAAGACGAGGTCTAAGAGCGACAAGGGCAACGATTAGCTACACAGGGCACGAGATCTCCTGGGACGGCCCTCTATACGGGACTTTATACTGACATTCTCTACCAGGTTGGCAGCCGTGACATACCCCCGACACGCATAAACCTGGTCCATCTTGGTGATGCCCTCGCTCAAGGCACGGACCATGTCCGCCGCATGATGCAGGTGACAGGTCTTCTCCTGATCGAGTTTGGCCATCGTCGAGAATGGACTAGGAATACGGGTGCTGTTGATGACGGAGCGGAAGGGCTGGACGGCTGTGGCATACGCTTGGAACAGGGCAACTTTGGTGTTACTGAATCGGCACCAAAACAAGTCAGTCGAGCGCTCCTCATCCGATGCCGTCGAGAAAGTCAGGCTGCCAGACAGAAACACTCACCTGGGCACTTCGCGGTATTTACGATTCACCCGACCAGCCTGGAAGTATGGGTCAATCCAGGCGATCTTCCCCCCGAGCTGCTTCTCCAACAAATTCCCAATGACGGCGAGACCCGCGGGGCCGGCTCCCACAACGACGGCGGCACACCTCTGTGAATTCATTTCTGAGGCCGTATATGTGACGTGTGTTGACGTTCAAGGATATCAGGGACAAAACAAAGCGATTTGTGGCATAGAAATAGTGCACAGTTTGCGATGGCAGAAACCCGATTGAGGAAAGATGGGTGGGAAAATGCTGGGAGAGCGCCGAAATTTATGGGAGAATAGCCAGGGGTGGAATGTATGGAAACACCGGTGTAATTCTCGGCAAAACAAGCCAGGGAGCGTCGTCATTGTGCCTTGGTCTAGACAAGAGGGGAAGGCACATGGAGAGTAAAACGACCAAGCGGACGGGACAGAGCGAATGACAGCAGCCAGAGTCAGTCATTCGTGACTGCAACCTTGAGGATCGTTTGTGCGGGAACGCGGCTTCCAGGCCGAAAGGGCGGCGCTCTCGGGCGAGATGTACAGAATACAACTCCTCATCCTCAGTTGAGACCCGGATCAGGCGGTGATACCCTCGTAACCGTAGTTTGGTACGTAGTGGCCGATTATCCTCCCTCAAATAAGCCAATTGCTGCTCGAACTGACACATCAGCCCCACCCGCAGGCAAATCCTTGAGCGCTTTTCCGTCGGAGGTCACATGTTGGTCGTCTCGTGTCTTGGCCGGTGAAAAGGCGAAGACGAAGAAAGAGTCCAGGGGTGAAGGACGAAGACGAGATCGAAGTCTCAGCGTCCAGAGACTGAGTGACTGTCAAGTTATCTCTTTCGACCGCAAAAACAGAGGATCCTTCAAGGCATCTGGCGATGGAGGAAAGGAGGACCTTATATTCAGATGAGCGAGTGGTGGATCGTCGCAGTCTTGGCGCAATTGCGTGATTTCCCAAAGGAATGAGGTTATTTCTGGCGGCCTGATTCGAAAGGCCGTCACCCTATTCCTGAATTGGGATCGTATCCTATAATCCATCATGGATCCCATGACCATTTGATATGATCAAAGTAAGTCAAGTATGTCATTCATACCTTCATTCGTCATCGGAAATAAGTAAATAAAATACTAGGAATTACATGCAATCCGTAAGTAGCCCCATTAACACAGTTATCCAACAATATCTCCAAGGTCCTGCCTTGATATCTATTTACTATCGTATACATAACCACAATTGAATCAGCACAGCATTCCTCTCACTGATGCTCTGTATGTATGTATGTACCAGTCCAGCCGGGAGACGTAGAGAACAATGAAACGTCATCAACTTTACACAGCCCAAAATACCCGCACCGACAGCCGTTCCACATGGTTCGACCACGCCCCAAACCGCGCTCGACCCCAGACGGCGATTGTATCACCAATCTGCAAGTTACGGACTTGACTGCCGTCGAGCGTAGCTCGTCCTCGACCTTGGTTATGCTGAATTTCCTCCGCTTCCGCTGAATCGGCGCCGATGTTGTCGAGATGATGCCAGGTAATCTGATAATGCTGGGTTCCCCTCACTGCCGCTCGATTCGCCTGGAGTTTGTGGGAGCTGGGCAGGAGAAGAGGATGATCATGCCCAAACCGAACCCCGTCCGCATTGCGTTCGGGAATAGACGGATTGCCAGACGTTGACAATTTCTCGGAGGCGACAATTTCGGTGTCAAACCAAGTATAGGATCCGTCAAATGTACCGTGCCCGCTGTTAGCAAAGCCCTGGTCATGCGAGGCGATGGAGAAAACAATCTTCCGACAAGGATGAATAGTCCGGTGAGGGAGCACTTTAGGCGAGGCACTTCCCAATGTCTACGCGATGTCAGCGGTCAAGGCTAGTGAAGAGATATGCCAGGTTCAAACGCTTGGAGAGTATGCAAAATACCTTTTCATCATAGCACAGTGGTGCTGTCCTGACCAACACCTGATCTCTGTCCTGAGGAATAATTCTTTTTTGGTCCAATGTAGCCTCGATGGAGGGCCAATATTCGGCCGCATCCACGATCAGGTCCACAATCTCGACGGGGAGCCCTTCAGGGATTATCTTCCATCGCAGCAGATACCGAACCTTAAGCACATCGTAGAGTTCGGGGTAGAAGATCTCCGAGTCAGTCGGCTCATGGTTGTCATCAGCAGTGCTGTTTTGGTTGCCCATATTAGATTGAGGCTCGGGCTCGTCGTTAGAGGAATTCGACTGTCTGCGTCTGAGTCCACGGAAGCGAGGAACCATGGGGAGCATCATCCAGAAAGTAAGTGGGTCTAGACCCCGTGTTAGGAATGGTGCGATATGGAAGAGTGACTATATCGCAAAGGCTGACAGAATCAAAGTCACTGGAAAAGCACGTTCTAGATAAATAATGTATTGTTATCAGCGAAAGGCGTGGACAGCTGGTTTGACGATTGCTCTAGGTAATGATCCACCCTCTAGGCACCGAGCTGAATGTGAGTTCCACAGCGACCAAGTCAAGCTGAAAACAATAATGAAACCGGGTCAATTACGAGTTCACTGAGTCAAACGGTGCATATAGATTCGATGCAGTTCTTTTGTGGCTCTTGCACTCACTCCCAAACGTTGTCTCCCTCTGTTGCGGACGAGAAAGGGAAATAAACGTGTTTACACCCCGCGTCGGGTGGGGGGATCTGGCTTGAGTGGTGATCGATCGACGACTGTACAATATTGACCCGTCCTGAGAGACCAAGTGATGCTACTGTTAACTGACAAAAGGGAAAGATCTCGAGGATGACAATTGTAGTAAGACACTGTAGTCAATACAAGATGAAGCAGTGTTCTTAAGTAGTAAAGCAGGTACCTACCTACTAGTACTACGTAAGTCGCCTTCTTTAACCGATTGGGATTAGCCCAAAGGCCCGAGACTAGATTTCGTGAATGACGTCATAGCCCTGGGTACATTTAGTCTCATACAATAGTAAGGGTATTGAAGGTTGTCCTTCTAATCATTGCAGGTGTAGTACCTCCCGTAGGTCGTTCTTTGAAAGGTTCATTTCTTTTGTAAAATACATACATGAGGAACAGTCTACTTCATATTCTCAGTCTACTATTCAGTCTTTCTCTTCTTCCCTCCCGCTGCCTTGTACGCCGCCGCTCGTTTGCTGCTGCGGTTTTTCGGCTTGCCTTTGCTGCCACGACTCTTCGTCTTCACGCGGATGCGCGATGACCCATCATCCGTCGCTCGGTGGCCTTCGAACACTAACGAGTTCTTGGAAATGGATTTCGTAGCATCTGCCCTGACCTTGGCCGCACCCGCTCGGCCGAAAAGCTTGCCAGCGCGACCTTGAAGGGTCTTGTCCGCCTCCCGCAGCGATTTGCCTTGAGTACTACCACCGGCTTCACGTTTCTTTGGCTGTTTCTTAGCTCGCATGACACGTAGCTTCCGGGGGAGCATGGGCGGGAAGTGCTTTCCATCTAGCAGCAGGGCCTCCTCCACACAATTCTGATCGTAAAATTGGACATAGGCAAATCCCTTGGCAACACGGGTGACACTGTCGCGAACGACTCGAACAGACTCGACATTACCTTGGCGGGTAGTCTGACCTTTGGGTTTGGTGGTGTGAGCATTAAAGGTCCGCCAAAGACCTTCTTCAACATCGGCCGGTGCCTTCTTCTTCTTCGGCTTTTCCTCATCATCGGCGTTGCTTCCTGGTCCACGAAGTTGAGATTGCGACGAAGACGCATCGTTTATTATCGACCGGGGCGGGATGTGCGACGCTGTCAACACGCACGTGTCTATCCAGGACGACAGTGCCATTCAGGGCGGCAGGAGCCTTCCGAGCGGCCTGGACCGTACTATAAACGATATACGCGTTGGTACTAGGAGTAGTTTCATCCAGAACCTCGCGCTTTGCAAAGGCAGCGCGCTTCGGGACCTTTCCGCCGCTCGCGAAGGCCGTAGAACGGAAGCGGATCGATTCCACCTTGTGCGGCCCTGTAGATTCAGGGAGTGTAGAAAGGAATGATTCAAAATGTTTCAAAAGGGTTTTCTTAGCAGACTTAGACTTGATGGCTTCGTTGGAGACATTGCTTAGGAACACCGTGCGATTAGACTTGTCAATATTAGACGACTGAGCGTCGCCGGTCAGAGTTTCGTGCTTGGGAATCGCAATCTCTGCATCTTCGTCGGAACTTTTATCCTCATCCTCGTCGTCGGATTTCTCGGTAGATGTTGCTTCATCCTCATCCTCATCTTCACCCTCAGCCTTTTGCCTCTTTGCTTTTTCCACACGGCGCTTCTCGTCTTCCTTCTGTTCTTCCTTTGCTATGCGACGCATGTAGGATTCTTCGAGATCTTCTCCCGCAGCCCTCTTTCGTTTCCGACTGGGAGGCTCCGAAGCCACCTGAGCTGGCTCACCACCAGCGTCACTCGAGGCTTCAGATGCTTCCTGCATAACCTGGTCTTCATCTTCAGGCTCCGACACGTCTTCACTGGTTTTGTCACCTGCGGTGGGTTTTTCAACAGCATTGCTAGTTGTGGGCAATGACGGCGCTTTTACTGGGCCTGACTAAAACATTTTACAGACATTAGCCAGGTACTGGACAAGCAAAGGCAACCGACTTACGCTCGTCTCAAACAAGGACGCCAACGTTGGGTCAACTGAGGCATTTCCCGCTAAGAAAGGAATAGACGTTTCTGTCTTTTCGGTCTGCGGAGCTTTTTCCGACTGGGACTTTGATTTCTTTCCCATGGTGATATTAACTGTGAGAGTGTCCCGCCTCTCGAAGGATTTCTGGCTAAAGGAAAAAAGAACAAAAGAAAGAAAGAAAGAAGGAGTGCAATGGCGGAGGGCGTATTGTCGCTCTGTCGCTGTTCCTACTCCGCGTAACTTTTTTTTCTGTTTTACTCTTTTTGGATCTTGGCACCGGAAGCTGGTATATCACGTGGGGAATCCGAGAAATGGCGTTAGTTCTTCAACGCCATCATGCAGGCTGCCCGACAGAGACATGATGTCTGCATCAGTACGTGCGTCTTGTCGCACTCCAGCTCTCTATCTATGAAAAAAGGCGATAGAAGATAGACCCGAGCTGTGGATCGAGCGGGGCCTCTCACATATATGCTAAGGGTGAACCCTCTACTATCTCATAATTTAGATACGTATTGGATATTTTTGTTTATTGGGTATAAAAGGCTTCTTACCCACTGGATCACCCCCAAACTTGCAGCGTAGACGAGGATTCCGGATTCTTGAAGAAATACAATAAGGCGAAAGTGTCGATGGGCCGTTATATACTATGTAGACTAATTCGACGAGCAATAGGTGACATCCGAGGCACCCCACTTAGCACATTTGGACACTGTTCTCGAAGATATATCAAGCTAGACCGTAGAGGGGCGAGCAATTTATTAACGACTCATGCGATGCACTTGATGAACGAACTTCCTTTTCAACCCACAGCTAGTCAGTCGAGAGAATTCACCGCTCAACATTCTATCATATGAGACGAATCAAGTTATGCCCCGAGACGCCAATTGATGGATATGTTGCGCTTCTTGTCAGCGCGATTGGAATTGAGATGGGAGGTATGATAGAGGTACATTCCTTGTCATCAATCGTAGCTCCAGGCAATTCGAACTACTTTCATTGTATAATATTACTATCTACTACTAGTACTAGTACTAGTACTTAAGAGCCTTGAGTCAGAGGTAAATGACTGGTAAACAGTGTTTAGCTTGCACATCACCACCTTGCTGGTTTACTACTTGGTAGCAGGATTGTTATGCCTGCAAGACCTAGTGTCTTCAATATAAAAATAGTATACTAATTTGCATAGAACTCAAGCAACTTTGAGCTAGATCAAATAGCTCCACTTTTATTTTCAAGGACAAAGCCAGATGGATAGATGAATTAATAAAGTTGTATGCAATTGTCTTTCTTCTAATTGATCTGGGTTCTCCAAAGTAAATGTTCTCCAAAGTAAATAGTAGTGGTGGAAGCCTGAGGTGGAATCCATAAGTTGTTGTTGTCTCGATTTATTGACAAATGATCGGCCGAATTGCCGGCCCGCTGCAGGTGACTTTACTTCCCCAATCAAGTCCATCGGCGTCATCTTGAAATCTCCCGAAAATTATCCAACTTCTCTCTCAACAATCGCTATCTACTACAATATTCTTCCCTGTCGCTCCTCATCCCGGAACCGACCTTTCGACTCCGGCATTGACGCCCCATCTCGGCCGGTGACCCTGTTTCCCGGCCCGGCGGTACCGTGGCCAGGCTGCTCGTCGCGTCTTTTAACCCGAACCCTTCTCTCCATTTTCATGGTTCTATAGATTCTATTCATCGTAGAAGACTCGCTTAACCTCCGAGACCCCTCTTTAATCTTCCCCCTGGCTGGTTGAACAGAGCCGTCATGACTCAGTCGACTGGTAACCTTGTCGACCAGATCGCCCAGCTCAACGCCGCCCGCACTCTCGTTCTGGGCGATGCCGCCTTCTACCCACAGATTGTGAATGGCGTCCTTCCTATAATTGGTGCGCGATCGCGATTGGAATTACGACGATGGGGTGCAGAATTCTTAGCGGAGACCTTCTCCAGCCCAGCGCTGGCTCCGGCTCAAAAGGAGCAGCTAGCTGCGACGGCATTGCAAACACTACGAGAGACATTGGAGTTGCCGGAAAAGGATACTGTGACTTTGAAACATATAGTGGAAGCGGCGGCCAGTTTATATCCCCTGGTGTTTAGGCATATGTAGGTGACCAGTGCTCTCTCTTCTGTTTCGTTCCGGGGAGAGGTCTCGTAGAAGTGCGCAGGAAACCAAATTAAGTCAGTCACTGGGGAATCGTGGGAACTGACTCTCTTGATAATTGCAGCATTAACCACCCCGAAGACTCTACAGCTTGGGAGAATATGACCGCTATTAAGGACGATATACTCCGGAGATGGGATACATCCCCATTTTCGGTGAAAGTATGCTGTATCAAGTTCGTACAGCGAGTGGTTCAAGTCCAGACCCATGGTCTAACGGACCCTAGAGTACGTACAGGAAACAAAAAAAATACTTGCTATTCAAAAAGGAAAGACTGTTGATGACTCGCAGCGGCCGGAGCAAAATGAAACGTCCTTGGCCATTGTTCCCAGAAATCATTCCCTCCTCTCCCTCCCGAACCTAGAAGCCGAGGCGTCGGGCCTCCTTGATAGATTGCTATCAGTCTTTCAGGAAGATGCAAGGTACGAACAATACCGTCTCCCAGGTCAATCATGTCGTGTCCCACTAATGGACCTATCATCGTTAGCGACCCCCTCCTAGTGAATGCGACCCTGAACAGTCTAGCGATCCTGATACGAACCCGACAGTCCATCGGCAACAAGATCATCAATGCGATTCTAAGCTTCGTTCCCGCAAGACAAGCACGCACCCCGGTGACACCCGCGGTTCGTGTTGGCGTCAAGTCAATGGAGCGTACAGCTAGGGCCCTGATGATCAATATAATGAAAAGGTGAGAAGGATGGGCCGTTTCAAGTTGAGGGTAAGAGACTGACGGGCGGTCTAGAAACCCCAGCCATCCTCTCGCAAGTAAAATGCAACAACATATCGAGCGCTTGATGCAGTCACGCATAGAAACCGCCGACGATAGCTCGAAAAAGCGTGGCCTACCGACCGAGCCAACGGATGGTCTGGACAATTCCAAGCGAGCAAAACTGGACACGGAAGCTCCTCCATTGATCAAGGTGTCACCACTACCCCCAGGTCCAGTCAGTTACTCGCAGCTTTATACGTTAACCGAAGATGCTGGGCTTTCCTCCTTTGATGTGAAGCAACTACCGGTTGAACTTCTCGTCAAAATTGTGGTTCCTGTTTTAGCTCGCGTAGACCAGTCTGCCCTGCATCAGGCCATTGATGTATGTTTGAAACTTTGTTTTTCTTTTTGGAGAAAAGACAAGCCTAATGTCATAATAGGGTGTGCGAATGCGGTATCAGACACTCCAGAAGCAACAAGCTGCACAGCCTCCTCCGCCGGCAGCAGGCGAAGAAGAAGATGATGACTATGAGCCCGAATACCAACCTATGGACTTTGCCGAACCGTCGGCAGAGCAGGAAGATGCGCTGTCGGCCGAAGCGGCCGATCTTCAGCCCGATCTGGTATCACTCGGTCCGTTTGTGCTCCCGCAACCTCCCCCTCTATCGGAAAACGAGGCTACCGAGATTGGCCGAAGTGCAGTTGGAAGAGTGTTTGACATGCTGGCATCGAGCGGCGTGGCGCCAAATACTGGAAAAGGAAAGAGCCAACAACACCTGGGTTTCTCGAGGCTGGCTGGCAGCACCTTTGATCGGGATGCCTGGGTAACATTACTGACTCGACTCGCGACGCGGGCTCCTGCTGGATTAGAGGTAGACCGCAAGAAGAACGACCAAGACCCTTCGTCGAGGAGACCGACGATATCCGATTCTATACGCGAAACATTGTATCGATATATACTCGAAGATTTCAGGGGCCGAGTGAACGTTGGAATCATGTGGTTGAACGAGGAATGGTACAATGACCGAATTCAAATGAGATTTACTGCGTCCCAACGAGCTGAGGAAGATGAGGAATCGTCGGTACTATTGCACTACGACCAGTGGTCACTGCGGCTTCTGGACGGATTTCTGCCATATTTGGATTCTCGAGACATCAAGATCTTCATCCGGTTCCTCAGTGAGATTCCAGAAGTAACTATCCCCATCACAAAACGGGTAGCTAGTCTCGCAAAAGACCCCGAGAGAGTGAATCTCTGCATCCAATCGTTAATGTGTGTATTTCATGTACCATGTGACTTGAACAAGCACATTGAACTGACCTCGATTAGGTATCTCATTATGTTCCGGCCCCCGGCGCGGGAAATGTGTCTCAATGCCGTAGAGGATGTTTACCAGACATGTAAGCTACTGACACCAATCCCCAGGAACGAATCTCCGCTAACCTTTTCATAACAGACGAGGAATCACGACCCGCCGCTGGTAAAGTCCTAGCCAGATGGCGTCCGCAGAGTGTAGCCATACAGCAAGCACAACCCGAACAATCAACTTTGGTGAACCGCACAGTTGAATCAGAGAACAGCACTCCCGTCGCAAACGGTGCGTAGGCGCCAAATCCCAACCAACGCGCCCAGCCAGCAACCACAATCACAACCACAGTCCAAACCATCAATATCTCGCCCCCGGCATCCCTGCACTCAAAGGCCTGTCAAATTGCCATTGAAAATAAACCGAAGCGAGCGAGAATCTTGATCGTGATTTTATTAGGATTGATAGATAAGGTCACCTCTAGTTTGTGCACAGATCCAACTCTGTTTCGCATACACAGACAGCAATTAGTCATCGCTTTACTATATGTTTGGGCATATTTACAGCGGAAATGCAATGCACCTGCTATGGTCCCATCCATGTACTGTATATCAGCCTAGTATAGGTTGCCAGGTTCTGTGTTTTCTGTCGCCATTTAGGAATACCACTTATCTCGATAGATTACTTATCTAACCGCGTCATACCTTGAACACTATATCGATATTCTAACCAGGTTTTAGTAGGTTATGTGGGCGTATTGTATAGACATATCGAGAGAGAGAGAGAGTGCATGATCATGACTCTAGTTAATTATATTTTTGTCCATTATATCCTTATACATATCCGAGGAGTAAGCACTCAAATGAAGTAGAATAAACAAGGCTCAAGGCCAATATGTATATCATAGAGCACGTATAGTTAGTTAGATAGGTAGGTATTGTGCAAAAACAAAGGTAACACAACACAAGGCAAGCCCAAGCAATGCATCCATTTAATCCCATATTCACGATGCGCCAAGACCCAAGCAAAAAGATAAATAAGCAAAAGGGGTACTGTAAGTGAAGTTGATCTCATCCCTTTTTCGATTCCAGCCATACATGCTAACCCGTACATACATTATAAGAAAAATAATAATAGAGCAACTCTACAACACCGTGTGGAACCCTATACACTATCCAAAACCTTTATGGAGACAATGACAATAAGTGAGACGTTATGAAGTGGGGTAGAGAGGAGGATGGGGGCTATCATGGCGCGGTCTTTGGGTGTTCTGGGTTCTATCGGGCTGTCATTTGGTTCGAGCCGGAGCCGCCTAGAACTCCGGCTGATCCGTGGTGATGTATGGAATTTGCTGGTTTGGAGGGCACCGGTGGTGGTGATGAGTCACGTTTTGACTGGAAGAGCCCTAATCGGGCAGGGGGCGGTGAGTAGCCGGCATTCCGGTGCGGTGGTGATCGGTTGTCGAGTGTGTTATACGAGGATGGATGGGGTTTCCGTACATCTAGCGGGGAGGAGCTTAATGATCGGAACCCGGATCGTCGGTCGGCGTCGTATTCGGGATTCCCATACGGCCCGAGACCCTGGGTGGACTGTTCGTGATCATAGGGTGTGTTGTTTGCCGAGGAATTTTCGGCAATGGTGGACGCTGACCCGTTGGGAGCATGAATGTCCACTACACGTTTTTGGGCTGCTGGTGTGGTATAAGCCGGTGCCCGTGGGTTCTCAAATACTCGACTCTGGGGTCTTGGTGGAATGTGTTGTTGATGATGGATTGGATGCTGTGGGTTAGCCCAAGGGGTCTGCTCTAGGAACGCTTCCTCTGCCGCAGCGCGGAAGACGTTCGACGACATAGACGACATGGCGCCTCGCGGTAATGTGGAGTGATGATGTGAGATAGGAACTCTCGTTTCAATGGAGATCTGCCCGCAAATTATGTCAGCATTAAAGCATGGTGATCAAAGAGCCTCCAGAACAAACTTACACCCATCTTTTCCATGTCCTCTTCAAGCTCCGCCGGTCGTGCAGCAGACAGTGAAGGTGCGGCTGGGAAGCCGACATACTTTGCAACACCAGCCAGAATGGATACTTCTTGATTGTAGGCAGTCTGGTTGGCAATCTGTTGCGAACGGCGCGTGGGAAATGGAATATAATGCTGCGGACTAACTTCATCCGTCTTGAAGCGATCATGCTGAATGGCATAGAACTGCTTGCTGATGGCACTCGAGTGCTTTTCACGAACGTCCCGGACCCGCTGGAAGTAAGTACTATGCGCTTGTGCACGCTCGGCTAGGCTTTTGTTCAATAGGGCCTTGATTCGGTACTGATACAGCGTATGTTCGTATTTGATCTTGGCGTCCCGATATCGCTGTATACACTCCAACTGCCGCAGAAACTCGGGATGTGTGGGGTTCGGCCCGTTGAGCATTTCGAGTTCGCGATTAAGTTTAGAGACTCGTTCATCATAGATCCTATTGGCTTAGTCAGTAACCAATGCATGTCTGTCCAAGAGATGCAGGGATCCTTACTTGTCTCGCAAGGCGGCAAACTCCCGCTCTAAAACTGCCAGCGATTCCATCGCAGATACCCGTTTTGCTGCTACACTCGAACATTAGCACGAAGGGAAAGTGACATGGTTGGGGAGGACATAGTGACTTACATTCTTCTTCAAGTTTGGCGGCTGCCTCACCATCATCTGCTTCCTCGCGTTCGGCAGCCTCCTCATCCCCAAGTGTATCATCCCCACCGCCTTCCGCGCCAGTTTCGAGAGCCATGTCGGCATCGTCATCGACATCTCTCGCTTTCCGCCCCTTTCGCTTGCCTTTCCTACTCCTTCTTCCCTTAGCAGGAGCCGCTGGCAAGTCGGACTCGGGAATATCGTCGACTGGGGTATCTTCCTCATTGGGCTTGGAAGGCTCCTCAATGGGTTCCTCCTCAATGGGCTCAGGCGTCAGCACAATATCCTCAGCGGGAGGATCGCTCAGTTCGCTTCGGAGAGAGCCGCGGCGTTTCTGAGGAGGCTCGTCCTCTTCGTCAAGTTCCGTGCCCAGCTCATCAGCAGAGCCGTGCCGTTTACGTTTCTTTCCGATGCCTTCTGAAAGTGCCGAGTCGTCAAGCCCTGGCATCTCTTCACCAAGGTCAGGGATCTGGTTATTTTTTGAGCGGGGCTTGCTGGGCGAATCGTCTGGCACATGCTCCTCGTCTTCGACTTCTTCGTATGTCGTTGACTGAGCTAGCTTGCTGGGGCTCGGACCATGATTAGTTGCGCTCACAACAATGTCTCTTCTCAAACGAATATTATTCGGAGAATCTTCAATGCGCTCGGTTTCCGCCTCTGAATCGTTCTCCGTCATGGCCTTCTCAGGTTTAGGAGATTCAAGGTCGAACGCCAGATTCTCGGAGACATCGTCTATTTCACTTAGACTACTAGATCGTCCATCGTCATCATCATCTATGAGCGCCTCGGCAATGAGAAGGTGGTGTTCGCCATTGGTGACGGTGGACTCTGCCCCGGCGGACGGACCGACCGAGGTAGTTTCCCTGCTTTCGGCCACCTCCATTAGTTATGGAAGGTGGTGCACAGACTTCGGTGGCTTCAGAGGGTGAAAAGAGGCAGGTAAAATGAGAGGTCCACGGAAGTTGATTTCAGTATGCTTGTGGGGAGAGGAAGCCAGCGGTCAAGAGAGTGCAGTCGGACCAAGAGCTAAATGGATCGAAGAGAAAATGTTAGAGAGACTCGGAAAATACATTATAGATATGTCAAGGAAACCGTTCACACTACATCAATCCGAATGACCAAATCAACGAAGGAGAATGAAAAAAAGGATGTTGTGAGGGCAGAGTGTCTGAAGGCGGTGCGGAGATTTGATCACACACCCCAGACTCACGGGCAATCATTCGTTCCCGGCTTTGAGCGCTGGGAAGTGCGCCAGAGCAACAGCGATACTCAGTTTTCACAGTGTGCCAGAATCCATAGTGACATCGCATCGGGTATAGATCAAGCCATCAATGGAGCTGTAGGCCAGCAAAAAACGTACCGTTCAATAATGCGCCAATCGCGAAACCTGTGGTAACCCCGGCTGCCGCGACCGAGCACGATTCTCCAAGACCGCAGTTGCAGAAGGAGGTTCAAGGCCACAAGTTCTCGCCAATATAACCAGATAATGTTGTATGTATGTCGCCAAGGATGTGCTATACTATAGGATCGGCGCAAACGAGTACTTGGTGGCGGGAGGGCGAAGGACGACGAAGAGGAGGGAGGTGGAGGTCGACTTCACGAAGCGGGCAATACGACTGTAAAGCGCTGCGGGAGAATGAACGGCATAGAAGAGAGGTGGGTTGATGTCGAGTTTCTGGAGGGAAAAAATAGCAATTCCTAAGCGAGCGATTATGACAACGATTGAGTATGGGAACCACCAGAGCGTTAGCGCAGAGAAAAGTGGCTGCTGCTGGTGGAGGGAGAAAGAATGATTGATCATGACCGAGAGCGAGGGAGCGAGAGACTGAGAAAGCGTCACGCTGCTGTATGCCGCCCGTATCGTCCGGCCCTTTTCTGCCCGTCTTTTCGCTTTTCCTTCACTCGGGTCATTGCTCACCGCCCTTGGGGGTATGATGATATACTTCTGGCTATCTCATGCGCCGCGATATGCCAACCAACTAGCGGATCAAAACAGAAAAAAGAGAAGCAAAAACCATTCCAAGTGATGATCAGTACCAAGCTGATGTTGTGGGTATGGTGGCTGATACTGTCAAAATTCTTAAAAAATAATTCATAATTGCCCAGGTGGTCTAGTGGGTCAGTTCTTCCTGCCTTTGAAATTACCTTTGAATCCTTCTACTGACCCTTATACGGAGTACAGTATGATTCTCGTTTAGGGTTCAGTCTCAGCATATATGCGAGAGGTCCCGCTCGGCCTGTGGCTCGGGGCTATCTTTTTAATACCTTTTTTTTTAATAGGAGCAGCAGAGCTGTATGTATGAGAACATGAGTATGTTTCGGCTGTACCACCAGCATGTAAACATCATAAGCGGCGAGTAATCATTGCGCGGAAATGTTAAGGCTAGGAAAATTAAATATTTCAGCTGAAGGAGATGCAATTTCTCAAGTCATAGTGACATGTTGCTGTTGTCGAGTAAACCATCCAATATGCACCCAAGTATAGTCCTAACTCCGTCAACCAACCTTAACTCCGGCCCAAACCCGCCAAGACTTTTGATCGAAAGACTCGCGATAATCTTCCGACGGTGTCAAATCAGTCCTCACTTATTCGCTGTACAGCCCCTCACGACTTTCTCAATTTCCTTTGAATAATACGAACATCTCCTTCTACTTGATACCCACAAGAAGATATTAAAAGATGGCCTCCGGAATGTACGTATTCCTCACTACGCACACAATACACTCCCCTCTTCATTACCCTCAATACGGGTGAGCCCATACTAACCCTAGAATCCTAGCTTCAACTCCACCTACTACGGCAGAGACTACCGCGCTGGGGCTGCCCTCCTGCGCGCCCGTCGTCCCTACCTCATCAAGAATGCCTTGACCGGTCTCGGTCTCGTCGCATTCACTATCAGCGTCTGTACGTTCGACTCCGATCTCATCATCCGCCCGGAATCACAAACCAGAAACCATCCTAGATCCAGGGAATAACGTACTAACAAATTCATTCTACGAAAGACGCCTACACCATCCGCGCAGTTGGTCAGGATGAATTCTCTGATGTGAAGGTCCCCGAGACACCCGCGAAGCCTCAGCAGAAGCAATGAGTGCAAATTGACCGTTCAGTCGGACCCATTGATGTGTACATTCCGCCCTCGACTTGGTTATGCTAGATCCTGAGTTGGTCTGGGCTCGAATTGTACACTGACGGTCTAGGACAATAGTTTGATTCGATCGTTGATCGGATAATGTATCGGGTACCGGAGTACGTGGCGAATTGTGTTTCCATTGCCTGGCGTTACCTGCGTGTGGACTTTGAAAGGGGGGGGTGGGGGATTCAGCGTGTTAGGAAGGTAGGAAATGTAGGATTCCTTTTTGGAGTCTACGAAGTGTGAAGTGATGGTGAATTGGGGTTGTGCAGGACCCAGCGCCGCGGCATCGCTGTACAGTTGGGGTGGTGTGAAGAAGTAACTCGGTTGGGTGCCGGGTTAAAAAATGCCTCTCATCTCATTCTGTTGTTTTTCCTGTTTTTATTAGCATTTATATCTGTATAGTATCAGTTAAACCATTCAAGATACCACGCTCTTATTGATTGCAGACGCAGTACCATCGAAGCCCCAGATTTACGGAGGCTGGGGGTTTGATTACATTGCACAACGCAAAGCCCATTTCAACATGGTGGCTTATGTTTAAATCACATGCATTTTCTAATCGTCTACATTGCCGCTTTAAACGGTGTTCAAATACAAAAACATGGAATTGAGGAACATGCTAAACAGAGAGAAGGGATCCATCTGTCCCTTACGAGGCCACAAACCAAAGATGGGCGGAATCACAGATTCCACCTTCACTCGGTTCGCAGAACACGGGGTCCTTTCCTCTTGGTAGCGCGCTTCCGCTTGTGGCCCCGCTCGAAGGCTGTGGCGCTGTTATGGTCGCGGCCCAAGTTGTCGAGGTCCTTGACCTTGTAGATACGGATGATCCAGTTCTCACTGGTAAACGCTTCTTCGAGGGTGGAAAGTTGTGGTCCTTCAGCGGGCAGTCGGGAGCCTCGGACGCGGTCCATGGCCTGACCCTGCTGGAAGAGGGCGTTATAGTTGTAGTAGGACATTTTGTACCTGCCGGGTCTCATTAGTACATGCTTTAAAAGTATCATTTGCAATATTCGGGCGTCCTTACATCAAGCTGTTGCGCATCGTGGGAGTAGCCTCATCATCCACACGGTATTCACCCCGTGCGGTGAAATAGTCCCGCTCCTTAACCTCATCGGGCCAGATGCCTTCGGCAATCCTAACCATCCAGAGGAACTTATTGATGTCATCACCAGAGTAACCCAACAATCCGCCGAACACTACCAACACATAATCAACATCATGCTGGCGGAGGATAGGATAGCTGACCTCCTCGCGAGAGCTCATCGCCTTTCCAACCGTGGCGATGTGGGTGTTATTCCAGGTGTTGTTGTCGACAAGAGTGGGGCGATCTGCCATACCACCAATCTGGTATCCATAATCCCACCAGGACATGATCTTGGCGTTATCGGGGGTGTTCTGGCGAAGCCAGTAGTAGGCTTCACGGTAGTCGTCGATGATGAATTGGCTACCGTCCGGCATCCGACTAGCCAGAACAACCGAAGGGGAAGAGTAGGCATTGGATGTGACCCAAGTGCAGTGCGCAACGAACAGGAGCAGATAAATGACGACAGAGGACGTCACAACGGCCTTGGAGATATAAGAGGAAACTCCAACCACTGGGTTCCTTGTGGAACGAAGGCCTTCTGTGGACGCCTCGTCTTGGGCCTTGCTTTGAGGGCTCGGCCCACGAGATGCAAACACATACGTATCAATGATGGTCGACAACGCCAGCGCAGCCGCCACGCAGACAATCGGGGTCAGTGTAAGCATGAGACGAACCATGACACCGGCGAAGTAGCTGGCCAAGACTGCGTAGATAATGACGAAGACGTGCTCATCTTTGAGTTCGCGGAAACACATGTAGACTCCGGCGGGGAAGAGCCAAATGAGGAGGTTCAGGTCAAAGAAGAAAGCTGGCCAAGCGGTCGGCTGGTGCTCCGACACTGACGCAATGATGGGGATATGGATTTTGGCGTAGCCAGTATCCCACAGGGAGTAAAAGCGACCGCTCCACGGGGCGATTACTCCGGATACGGTCAAAAGAACAAGTCCGGCAAAGGCAACGCCAAATACGACGATGACCATGGCAGTAAGAAGTCTTTGGAATTGTTTACCGGGGATGAAGCCGCGGACAAAGTCAGCAAATGCCACGAGCTGGATCAGACCAAATACACCTAGATAGTCGTTAGTATATTTCCCGTTAACCATTCGAGAGCACGCTTACCCAAGGCTGACATATGGTCACTGTTCCGAATGGGGAGGAAGCCGACGAATGGAATCTGCATGCTTGCCAAAGTTCCCAGCGCATACCAGGTGGTGTAGCTGATGTACAGACGAGAGCTATATCTTCCCATACAGAGAAGCACAAAGACATGCAAGGGAATCAGATTGGTGATGAAGACATAACCACCCCAAGCCGACACCATGTAACCGTAGAAGAGAGCGGTCAGCGCTCCCCACATGATCGAACCGTTTTTGACAGCCTTGATCCACAAGAAGAAGGTGAATACAAGAAGGAAAATCGCAATGGCTTCGTTATCATAGCTACCCGCAACCGATCGAGAGATATATCCCGGGGTAATGCCCATGAAAGCAGCAGCAAGGAGACCAGCGGAAGGCGAGATGGACATCTCACAAGTCAGCAGATACATTGCAAATGCTGTGAGACCAGAAAATGCCGGCGCGAGCAAGACACAAATGTTGCGGATGTCGACGGGAATGGTCAGGAACCGGAGGATGTGGTAAATCACGCCGCTGGTCACCATGAGACCTGGGTATAACGTGCCACCAGTGACACGTCCCAGAGGGTGCCATGTTCCTATATAGAATTCGCCAATTAGTACTTTAAGCAAGTGACCGTCACCGCCTGGCTGTTGAATGTAGCTGGTGTCGCCGGTGGAATAATCACTCACGGTCATCAAACCAGTCCCAGAAGCTTTCGAAGCCATGTTGTACCAAATATTTTGTTGCGCGAAAGTTAAACCAAGGATCGACTGTAGGGCATTAAGTCAGTGGATATAGAAGCTCTTAACGAAGAGAAAGACAATAGTATTGTATATTGGTCGAAGGCCGGGGCTGTGGGCAACTTGTCGGAGTATAGAATAATTGTTGCTGAACGTACATTCATGGATAATGCTCTCAAAACCTAGCGCATAACAAGTCAGTACCAATTGAATCAATGAGCAACTACAAGTAGATTATCTGTCGAACAACATACGAATCACACTGAACAGTCGACTCGACACTGCAGCGGCAGCGATAGTAACTAGAATGATGATGCGCAACAAGCCGCGCGTATTCCTGCCGGTGTTGCCTTTCAACAAGGCATCAACAGGTGTTTCGGCCATAACGGCCAGAGAAAAACGTAAAAAGAAAAATCAATGGGGAAAGCAAAAGAGAGTTGGCCCTCGTCCTGCCCTGGAGCTGAAGAGAGGAGTAGTTGGATGTTTCGTTGAATTGACTGGGGACAGCTTCGCAAGGTGGTCACTTCCGAGGCTTGGCATCAGGCACGTTTATACTTTACATACATACAATACCGTCACATTGAACTCTCCGCGCCTCCACACCGCACCGCCTTTGATATCAATCAACCGTCACTATCAATACTGCTGAGATTAGCTTCAGCGTGCTGCCCTTGGTCTTTGCCTACGTCCTTCTCTCGTCTTGCCGTCTCTGTGATTAGCACACTTTCATTGACACCTTATCTAATCAAGATGGACTTACCTCCACTCTCCAAGGAACAACTTTCCACAGTGCTCCAATCTAGTCGTTCACCAATAGAGCTCTACAATACTTTGGTGGAGTACGAAGGCGAGGCTTGCTTAATGTCAACAACTGATAGCGATGTATCGGAGCTCCTCAGCCTATTCTACTCGACCTTTTTCTTTGCGCATCTTCTGACAGATCAAATGTGAGTTCTACCCTCGCCCAAGGCTGCGGAGAAGGCCCCTGGTCAGTCAAACAATGGTAATAACCTGACATTAAACAGATACGAAGCTCGCGCGATGACTCAACGAATGCCACAAGGGCTGTCGCAAAATGATCCGTCGCTCCAGAATTGCCTGACTCTATTACGGGCTGTTTGGCAGAGGAAATATGAGTCGATCTACAAAATCTTAAGAGAGCTACCCTGGCCAGAGCTTCTGCGTCCGGCGGTAGAAAGCTACGAGAGTATGAGAAACACGTCGACTTTGTCTCTGTCCCTGTGACTTGCTCTAACTATTTTCCCAGCATATTTCCAGGAGAAAACATTGAAAGAAGTCAGCCATGCCTACGAAGCGATACGGCCTGCAACAGCTGCAAATTATCTCGGTCTCGATACTGCAGCAGCAGAGCAAGGCGACCCCGCAGTAATACAGAAATTCACTGCAGTTGGTTGGGTATGGGATGAAAGCACAAGACTATTACATCCTAAGCCTATCCCTATGGCACCAGAAAAGGACACTCGGTTATACGATGAAATGAGTCAAATCATGGCATTGGTTGGGAAGCATGGGGGTTAAAGGTGGATGACACGGACACGACATCGCTTAGAAACCGAGAAGACCTGACTGGTTGAACAAAGGGGAGCTGAGATGCTACGCAACAATAGACCACCAGGTCCGTTTAATGGCGGGAACGTCTGTTGAGCAATGATAGAGTATCACCCCACCCAAGGGCGCACACAGGACAAGGGATCAGCAATGACACCAAAGCGAACAGAATCTCTTGCTCTTCTGGCCCAACTGTAGTGTACAGACGCACGACAGCCCAGGGTATGTACAATGACTCGGAGAGGATCTCTAGTAACGTAAAAGAAAAATCATTCCTTTCGCTCGCAATGACACGACTCTGGGAAATTAGACCAAACAATAATACATAATCGGGGGTTACCCGAAACAACCTTTCTTATACCCTAGGGGGTACGACCGTTGTACCAGAACAGTTGTCACTCGTCCTTTCACTTTGTACCTTCCAATTCCTCTAGTTCTCCCCGGCCTTCATCTTCAGGTACGCCTCAAGGTCGAACCGGCTGTCCTCGGGATCCGTGATGACTGCAGGCAACCGTTAGTGTCGGATCAAGTATGACATTGCCTTCGTGGAATATATCGAAGGCGTCGCATCTCATTCGGGGCTCAAGAAGCTGGCAACATACTTCCGCTGTTTTGTGTGTCCTTGGGCGCCGTCTTCCTCTTCCATTCGGCCTTGGCCTGCTGGATCAGGCGCTCCTGGCGGGCGTATTCACGGTCGGCTTCGGCACGCTTCGCGTTGGCAGTGATCGAGGATTGGTGGTAGGCACCGTAGAAGAGACCGGCTACGAGAGCCGAGTAGCGAAGGACCTGTAATGCGGGTATGATGCTGTCAGTTGCCCAGGGTCCATTATCAGAACGGGGCCCTTGCGGACACTTACGTTGACACCTTGTGCGGTAGCCATCTTTAAGATCCTGGTCTCCGGAGCGAAATTCAAAAAGGACAAATAAACGCAGGGTAACAAGGCCGGATTCCGAGCGACCGTTTGGAGGGTATCAATTGGCAATGGCTGGCAATCGGACAGGATACTCAGAAGCTTGTTCAAGACGAAGTTCCTGTCGCGAGTTTTTCCGGACCGTCGGGGGCCTGTGCTTATGTCATCCGCCGACCCGAACTCTGGGCGCGGGACGGGGAAGTCCACCTAACGCGCATAACATAACTTGAGACGGGAGTAAATAATCATAAACTTGAAAGTACCGAACTGGTCTGGTTTGGATGGTACGTCAGCCCATCGGCTGCCTCAATTCACCATGTCATCAGCTATGCAACAGCGAAAGGCAGAGATTCTCGCCAAGAGAGCGAAACTTGCCGAACTAAAACGACAAAGAGAGTTGCGCCAGCAGGAGTTCTCGCAAAGTCGGGCCAACAGCGGTGATGCTTCCGAGGTAGGGGACATTCTTCAACACAACCAATATTCTACAGGAGAGTCATGTCTTTTTTAACTCTCCCCACCCATTATAGGTTGTGTCCCCAGTTCCTAGCCGTGCTGATAGCAGAGCGGAGCTCGATGACCTGATCTCACGTCTTGTGGACCGCCCTGGGTCGGCATCCATCAGCCACGCAGATGGCCCCTCACGCAGAGGGAGCAGACCGAATTCAGTGATTAGCGCTAGCCAAGTGAGCGGAGACCATGCCGAAGCATTCATTCCTGCTGCGCGGCCAGTTTTGCATTCGATCGCCGTCCAAACCGTCGGTGCAGAGCCATATCCTACAGCACCACCCCCTGAACCAAAACCCGAAATCGTTACATACAGCAAAGGAGTCCAGACAGATGACTCGAAACAGCCACAAGATAATTCATCGGTCGAATCTGAAGAGGAAGACGGGCAGGATCCTACAGGCACAGGTAAACGCTTAAGCAGGAAGGAGCGCGAGCGCGACGAAGAGATCCGGAAGAAGCTTCGCGCAGAAATCGAGGAGGAGTTGCTAGCTACCCAGCAGAAGGCAGAACATGACGCCGAGGATGAATCTTCAAAACTACGGTATCCATTGCGCACACTGGATGATGATGAACTGAAGGCAGTGACTTCTTCCGAGGATTTCCTGGACTTCGTTGAACGTTCCGCAAAGGTTATTGAGCGTGCTCTTGATGAGGAATATGACGTACTAGCGGACTATGAGCTTGGTGGACTTGATGGCGATGTGGAGGAGGATGACGAACATGGAAAGAAAAGGAGAGGCATCAGAGAGGTTTGCCAGTTTTGGGACGAACGATGGAGCAAGAAGCGCATGATCAGCGACGTGAGCTTTTCTCCAAAGGTCTGTCACCCGCGATATTAGTTTTCCCTTGTTATGCATCGCTGACGAGCCACCTATAGTTCCCAGAGCTTGTTTTAGCTGCATACACCAAAAACCCATCCGCACCTCATGAACCGGACGGTCTGGTTCAGATTTGGAACCAACACCTGCAATCCCGCCCCGAGTATGTGTTCCATTCTACATCCGATATCTTGGCGGCCAAGTTCTCTCCATTCCACCCTAATCTTATCGTTGGCGGTTCGTATTCCGGGCAGGTTCTGCTTTGGGATACTCGGTCATCGCGCGCAGGTGGTGGTGCACCGGTACAGAAGACGCCTCTGACTGGTTCTGGGCACACCCATCCAGTTTATAGCATTTCAATCATCGGCACACAGAATGCCCATAATATACTTACTGCGTCTACGGATGGCGTGGTTTGTGGCTGGACTGTAGATATGCTGTCTCAACCTCAAGAATATCTCGAACTTTCTACTCCCCCGCCATCTAAAACCGAAGATCTCGCTCCCACGACCATGTCATTCCCACAATCCGATCCGACATTTTTCATCGTTGGCACAGAAGAAGGCGGGATTTACCCCTGCCATCGCTACGACCGAGCCGGTGCTAAGGCCGGAACTGATCACCGTCTCGCGTACCGCGGCCATGCAGCCCCTATCATGTCTACAGCCTTCCACCCGGCACGGGGCCCTGTTGACCTGGGGGATCTGATGCTGAGTTCTAGTTTGGATTGGAGCGTGAAGCTATGGCGTGTTCGGCCACCAGCAACCACCGCGCCGGCCACCTCGGCCATCTCCACGACACAGGTTGTATCTCCGATTCTCGACATCAACCGCGAAGACGTTGTCTATGATGCTCGGTGGTCTCCCCACCGCCCTGGAGTTTTCTCCCTCGTCGACGGTGCTGGAAACCTCGAAGTTTGGGACCTCTACACGGATACGGAAGTCCCCGTCGTGCGGACCACCCCGTCTAAGGGTCGTGGTGGCATCTTGACGAGTAGTCTCAACAAGGTGGCCTGGGAGGAGCGCGAGGGCAGGCGAATTGCCACAGGTGGGTTAGATGGGGTTGTCACCGTCTTTGAGGTAGGAAAGGGCCTTAGTGGCACTCCCGAAGATGTGCCAGCCGAGGAATGGGCCGGAGTGAAGCGACTGGTGGGGAAACTAGAGCAAAAGGACCGGATCAACTGAAGCGATAATTAGGTTTGCGATTGACATAGATCGCTTCGCTTTTCAACCTCCAGCGGACGGTCAATGCGGCTTGACTCTAGACTTTGTGCGGGGAGTGTTGATCCCCCGTTGCCTGAATGCCGCAAGATCTTCATCCGCAGGCTATCGTCCAGTTGCTACAGCATGGTAGCCCCTCCCTTTCTCCCGCTCATTTTGTACCAAACTTCGTTGCATGGCGTCTTTATGTAGTTTTTATCATATACCCCTCGGGCAGCTGTTGATGTATGTATGCATTTGTTGGACCAGGAAGGCAGGTTCTCTGGATTTATACTCGACCTGACTTAGAAGGGCATTAAAATGTAAATATTCTACTTTCCAGATCTGCGTGGCGGGAGTGATTCGGTGTTCGGTGTTCAGCAAGGCAATTAGCGGTATCCATGCCATACGTGTCGCCATATTCCTGTATGTCTCAGGCCGACAGGAGCTGCCCTGTTAAATGATCTCCACAAGGGCTCATAATCTGCAGGGATTTCCCAGCACTACGATTCCCGATCTGGTCCGGATGGACATGGATCCCATCTCGGATCTGTTACGTGATGGGTAACACTTGGGCACCTTGTCGATGAGGTGCCAGACCATCCCTCCAGACTGATTCAGGAATTGGTCACTGGTGCTCGGTGAAATGCAAACTATTTTAGTTGAAGTTACTAGCAAAGTGAAGTATCACTCCAACGGTTGTCTGATCTCGGGTCATTTCTGGAATCTGCGCGCATGATGGAGAAGCCCCAGCTCGCATGACGGTATGAGGGCCTGCGAGCCCTTCAGTTCCATTTCGGGCCATTTCGAGAGGGGGAAGTGTGTATGGCATGCATCCATGGCTATATTGAAGGGAATATACTTTGAAATGACGGATCACTCACCGCTCATCTTCTGGAACTGAATGGCATATGCGGTGTCAGTGCTTGGGTCCGACGGCTAAGCTCCACCAGTATTGGGAGAATGTCAACACCTGAGGAGGTCAAATGATAAAGTTTCCGTCAGTGGCCAGTAACTTTCCTAGAGACGGCAGAGTGAATGTAAGCAGCCGAGTAAAGAAAAAAAGAAAAAGAAAAGCCCCAGGGGTACAGCACCAAAAGCAACGTTCCTCGTTAATCACATATCGTCTGCAAAAATGGCGCACGGATACAGACCCATCGGAGGATATTCAGGATCTCAATAGGGCGCGAGAGAATCCGACTGTCCCCAAGCAAGGTCATTCATTCCAGTCACAGACTCAAAAAGTTGGAGAGTTTGATTTTTTTTCAGGGGATCGACACGGGAACCTGATGCCTTGCATGGCACATGCCTGAGAGAAATCGATCATTGGAGTGCTGGCGGTTTTAGGGCTTGTCAGGCTGTTGACTCTAGACCGATGAGAGGGGAAGCGTTAAGCCCCTTGCGGTATGGGGCTGCCGCAATGCCGATTGTTTCCCCAGCCAATCCACCGCCCTCGTCCTCCCATGAGACCGCATGCCGAGCACCAATGGAGCCTAAGGCCGCCCCACCTGCGAGAGGGTCCTTATCGATTGTCGACCCCACGGCTGGTTTGGTCGAACTAACAACAGACTACTGTGAAGGAGACTCCCAACTATTGTGATACAAACTCACATTTCAACCCTCGTCTACTGCTGCAAGGAAGCTAACTGATCGCACCGCTGCATTCCATCATGCAATGGCAACCACCTTCGGCCCCACGTGGCCCTTCAAAGCCCGAATTGCAGCCGATCCTCAGGCCTGATCGGGTCATACAGGAGGATGAAGTTGCTCATATAAAGGCGGCGACCTGGTCGCCAGAAAGACCACGTCGTCCCTGGGTGCGCACGACTCTCATCACGCTGCTGCTGTCAATCATGAGCATCATTTCGTTGCTCGCGTTCTTCTCCCTGGGCCTGGGTATCAACGGCCTTCCCCATGCCCGCCCCTCCAGCCCTTCATACGGCAAGCCGGTAAACCCTATTCAGGACACTCCGATTAAGAACGTGGTATGTTTCATTCGTTGTCGAATACTGAATGGTTACCCTTCGCGACCTTCAGTACTAAGTAACAATATAGGTGGTATTGGTCGAGGAGAACCTGAGTTTTGATGTGTTTGCCGGTGGCTTGACATATAACTCCAAGATCGATGGGTTGGTCAACCGCGAGTACTGCAACCCGTCAAATGCTTCCGATCCATTCTCAGAGAAGGTTTGCGCCAAACCGATCGCGAAGAATGTGGCTCCCGATGATCCGGACCACAGCATTACGGGTGGAAACCAGCAGGTGTATAGCACCTACCACCCCAACGCGAAGAATGATATGCCTGGCATGCAGGGTTTCGTCACGGAGCAGATTGTCTCTTACGGGCTCGGCTCCGATTTAAGTCGTGCTGCAGAGGTCATTAACTACTACACACCAGACCACGTGCCAGTTTTCAATGCCATGGCCGAGAACTTTGTGCTCTTTGACCGCTGGTTCGCATCGGTTCCGGGACCGACCAACCCCAACCGTGCGTATCTGACTTCGGGCACCTCGCATGGTCACGGTCAAAATGACCATGACTTTGATATCTCCAACTTGCCTCAGGTGTCTATCTTTGAACAGCTCTCGGCCGCTGGCATTAGCTGGATCAACTACTCCAACACCACTGGTTTCCTTCCAGATTCTTTGTTCTACCAGTGGACTGCCAAGAGTGGCAAGGGCACCACCAACGTGAAGCCTATTGACCAGTTCTTCAATGATGCTAAAGCCGGTACGCTGCCTCAGTTTACCTGGATCAACCCAGAATGTTGCTCGTACATGTCCTTCCACCCACCCTCTCCGATCAATATGGGCGAGGGCTTCATTAAGAGCATCTACGAGGCGTTGCGCTCTTCCCCGCAGTGGAATGAGACGCTGTTCATCCTGACTTTTGACGAGCACGGTGGTTTTGCCGACCATGTATCTCCCCCTGAGAACGTGCCGGCTGGCGATAACCTGACGTACACCGAAACGGCCAAGGACGGCCAAGAGGCCACCTTCCATTTCGACCGTTTGGGTATCCGAGTACCTACCGTTCTGATGTCTCCGTGGGTGGGCAAGGGCGTGGTTCAAAATAGCCCGACTGACCAGCCTAACGAATTCACCCACACCTCTATCCTCAAGTATGTGGCTGAGCTCTGGAACCTGGACATCCTCACTCCTCGCGTCGACTGGTCTCCCAGCTTCCGAGGGCTGATCACCAACACGTTCCGTGAGACGCCGGCGAAGCTACCTGAGCCGGCTGATTTTTAGAAACGAATCTGTACAGTCTAGACTCGATATCTAGAGTAGCATATGACCATGATGACGATATAATTATGACAATAACCGTTTCAATTAAATGACTGCAGGCAACAACAAAGATTTTGCCTTTGTGGAAACTCCCCATTCCCATCTAAGGAACCATTACATTAGTATGCCTTGTAAATTGGCTCAGCCTCCACAACCTTGAGGTCTAGTCAGGGGGAGCCGGGTATATACTCTTCCGCAATTCAGAATATAGTGTTTGGTACTCGTTAAGTATCTCTATCGTTCGTTTCTTTTTGAACTTAGAATGTCCTTTGATACCAGTCCAGAATCGGTTTGCCGTTTTCTGTAAATGTACATGGGCGCAGTTCAGCGTTTGTTTTCCTCCTTGGAAATAGGTCTTTTCGTATATATCAGATGCTAGATGTGAGGACGAAAAGACCTGATTCTCGGAGATAAAGATAAAAATTTAAATTAAACGCAATACCTTTGGTAACGTTTAATCCTGTTTGCCCCTGATCAACAATTGGTACTGGCAGTGATTGGAGACCCAATTCTTCAGCATCTTATCTCTTGATCGTTAACGCCGAGGGCTCGGCGATAATTACCCGTTCTCTCTTAGCGGATTCAAAAGAACAGAAAAGCGTGCCAAACACTCAAAGAGACACGCGTCAGACAAGACGAATGCCAAGATGGAGACAAATCTCAGTCATTTTATCTCCCTTGAATGTTGCTGACATGGTGACTCCATCATGGGTACATAGTAGCTTTGCAGACTCAGAGATAAGGGCTGGACGGAGAGATCAGATAAGGCCGGAGTTCAGCCGATCCGCAACATCAGATAACAGGGAATTCACGACAGACTCGAGCCTCGAGGAAGAGCATTTGTCTTGGCATCTTGCCACGCAACCTGGTGACGACTGCCTGAATAGATTTAAGGATGGCAAAGCGTTGATCTGCCGCTTGGCCCACAAGCTTGATACGAATCCCGAACCTTATGATGTCCAAGACAGTGACCTCAGTCACCCGGCCTTGCAATAAATAGGACGATACTTTCCCTATGGATACTCCTAGATACGACCTCATCATTCGTTCTTTCTTTTCGCATCCTTTGGACACTTGTTGACCTCTGCCGTTCTTTTAGTTTGAAAGATGCGCCAACATTCGCGCATGGCCGTTGCTGCTTTGGCAGCAGGAGCAAACGCAGCTTCTTTCACCGATGTGTGCACCGTATCCAACGTGAAGGCTGCCTTGCCTGCCAACGGAACTCTGCTCGGCATCAGCATGATCCCGTCTGCCGTCACAGCCAGTCCTCTCTACAACCAGTCCGCCGGCATGGGTAGCACCACGACCTATGACTACTGCAATGTGACTGTCGCCTACTCGCATACCGGCAAGGGCGACAAGGTGGTCATCAAGTATGCATTCCCCAAACCTTCCGACTACGAGAATCGCTTCTACGTTGCTGGTGGAGGAGGCTTCTCTCTATCCAGCGATGCAACCGGAGGTCTCGCCTATGGCGCTGTTGGAGGTGCCACCGATGCTGGATACGACGCCTTCGATAACAGTTACGACGAGGTAGTCCTCTATGGAAACGGAACTATCAACTGGGACGCCACCTACATGTTCGCATACCAGGCGCTGGGAGAGATGACCCAAATCGGAAAGTACATCACCAAGGGCTTCTACGGCGACAGCAAGCTCTACACCTACTACGAGGGTTGCTCCGACGGAGGACGTGAGGGCATGAGTCAAGTTCAGCGTTGGGGTGAGGAGTACGACGGTGTGATTACTGGTGCCCCGGCCTTCCGTTTCGCTCAGCAACAGGTTCACCATGTGTTCTCCTCCGAAGTGGAACAGACCCTGGACTACTACCCGCCTCCGTGTGAGCTGAAGAAGATCGTGAACGCAACCATTGCTGCTTGCGACCCGCTTGATGGAAGAACCGACGGTGTCGTGTCCCGGACAGATCTTTGCAAACTCCACTTCAACTTAACCTCCATCATCGGCGAACCGTATCACTGTGATGCGGAGACGAGCACCTCTCTTGGTTTCGGCTTCAGCAATGGCAAGCGCAGCAATGTTAAGCGCCAGGCCGAGGGCAGCACCACCAGCTACCAGCCCGCCCAGAATGGCACGGTTACCGCACGCGGTGTAGCGGTCGCCCAGGCCATCTACGATGGTCTCCACAACAGCAAGGGCGAGCGTGCGTACCTCTCCTGGCAGATCGCCTCCGAGCTGAGCGATGCTGAGACCGAGTACAACTCTGACACTGGCAAGTGGGAGCTCAACATCCCGTCGACCGGTGGTGAGTACGTCACCAAGTTCGTTCAGCTCCTGGACCTCGACAACCTGTCGGATCTGAACAACGTTACTTATGACACCCTGGTGGACTGGATGAACACCGGTATGGTGCGCTACATGGACAGCCTTCAGACCACCCTCCCTGATCTGACTCCCTTCCAATCGTCCGGCGGAAAGCTGCTGCACTACCACGGTGAATCCGACCCCAGTATTCCCGCTGCCTCCTCAGTCCACTACTGGCAGGCGGTTAGGTCCGTCATGTACGGCGACAAGACGGAAGAGGAGGCCCTGCAGGCCCTCGAGGACTGGTACCAGTTCTACCTGATCCCCGGTGCCGCCCACTGCGGAACCAACTCGCTCCAGCCCGGGCCTTACCCTGAGAACAACATGGAGATCATGATCAACTGGGTCGAGAACGGCAACAAGCATCCCGTCTCAATGCCACCGTTTCTTCGGGTACCTACGCTGGCGAGACCCAAATGCTTTGCCAGTGGCCCAAGCGCCCTCTCTGGCGCGGCAACTCTACCTTCGACTGTGTCAACGACGAGAAGTCCATTGACAGCTGGACCTATGAGTTCCCGGCCTTCAAGGTTCCTGTATACTAGTGTGCTTGTGTCATTACTACTTTCCACTCATCTTCTATACCGAGTGACGAGATTTGAGAACCCGATTGGCTTCTAAGTGAAGTTAATCTTCCCGACTTTCATTCTTCATTTCATGCTTCCTGAGCACCTGGCTCGTTTATCTATACATTTTGAATATCAAACCCCGGTTGAGCGTACATACACAACCTGAGGCCAACCGAGACAAATCTACAATCTCTTCCTTCCAAGTAACATTCCACCGAGCTTGTACATAGATAATCACACAAGACCAATATCACAGCGAGGACTACTTCACCCATAACTTCTACACAAAAGCGCCTCAACTGACAATAAACTCTCAATCTTAATAAACAGTTACCTATATCTAGACATTACATAGAAAACCAACCTCTCAACCCCGCATCAAAGCCCCAAAAACCCCCTCTTCCTCCCCTTAGCAGACCTGGACCTGGACCGTCTCGAGATGGCCGAATTCCTCGTATTAACACGATCGATGTCGTACGGATTAGCCTCATAACCCGGCGTCCCGTCACGCACAGTCGACAGCGAGCTCCTGCCCGCAGACTCCACCCTCTCCAAGTTCTGTCCCTCACCCGCACTCCCCTCCCGAACCTCCTCATCAACAACCTTCTCCTCCTCCGGAGAGACTGTCTTCTCCGCCAACCGCCTCATAAAGTCATCCGCCTCGGCAGCATATTTACACTTCCTGCGTATAACCGCACCATACCTATAGAAAACAAACGGAAAAGGCACACAAGCCAGGGCCAAGAAGGCCGGGATACAGGACGCCCAATGGACGCCCAGATTGCGATACATGTAGGTGGTGAAGAGGGGGAAGCCAGCGCCGAAACAGGATCTGATGATGGAGTTTGCGGCGAGCACGCTGGCGGCGTAGATGGTGTAGGCGTCGATGAGGTAGGACATGATGTTGAGGAAGACGAGGACCATGCCGAAGCCGAAGGGGGCGGCAGCGATGATGCTGACGATCCAGTGGACGGGGGTGCGTTCGTCCAGGCGAACCAGAAGAGGCCGATGGGATGGCGAGGCTGCCGAGCATGGTCGGGGGAGGCGGCCTCGGGGGCGCGAAGCCGTGGTGGGCTCTGGTGGATTGCGACGTAGCGGTTGTTGTCATGCATGTTTAGGGCGACGGCGAGCATCATGCCGATCATGACGCCGAGGAAGGGGAGCGAGCCGACGCCCTCGGACCAGCCGCGGAGCTGTTGGAAGACGATGGGGAAGGCGTCAAAGAGCATGTACAGGGTGCCGTAGATGATGGCCATGTAGGTTGAGAGGAGGAGAACGATGGGCTCGGCGAAGAGGAGGATCCAGGGCCGGAGGAGGGCGGTGCCAAAGGCGCTCGTCATGGTTACTTTGCCGCGTTCAAGCTCGAGTTTGCTCCGGTGTACTTTGCCGGTGAGCGCTGTGAGGCGGGCAGCGCGCTTGCGGAGAAGTAGCGGAGCGTAGGTTTCGGGGACGAGGAGCGATTCCACGATCCAGATCAGGCCGGTGAAGGTTGCGAGGAAGCCTTGTACCCAGCGCCAGCCGGCGTTTTCGCCGAGGAAGCCGCCGATTACGGGGCCTAGGGTTGGACCTTTGGTTGTTTTTTGTTAGCTGGAGTTGACAACGGTGTGCGGTGGTGTAGGTACATACCTAGGAACGGTGCGCCGGCGAATAGGCTTGTTGCTAGACCTCGTTCTTCTGCCGGGAAGATATCGGCGATGACACCCCCGGCGTTGTTAGTGGCGAGGATCCGAACGAGCCAGCGAAGAAGCGCAGAATGATCAACGTCCAGCTATTTTGTGCACCGGCGGCGCCAGCACAGAAGAATGCGAGAGCGCCATATGAGACGAGAAAAACGATCTGGCGACCGATCAGCTCACTCAGAGGCGCCCATACTAATGGGCCAACTGCAAACCCTAGGACGAACAGTGACACGCCCAGCGTCGCTACTTCCTCGCTGATGCCGAAGTCTTTGATGATTTCCTGGATGCTTCCTGCATACGCGGAGGAGGAAAGCGAGACGCCGAATGTGGCGAAAGCAACAGTAATAGTGTAAGCCCATTTCAGGGACTTGTTAAGCAACATCGGGTTACGGGGATCATCAGGGATCCATTCCACAATGTAAGGGTCATCATCTGTGCCGGAGCCGTGGTAGGGGTGGTCGATTATTTCGGGCGTGACAACGCCTTGGTCGGTGAGTAGACGCCAATATGGAACTCCCTGGGGTCGAGGGGCTTCATGGATATAGTCTTCGGATATCATTCCAAGGGGCCTGTGTGGATACAGTTGTACTATTATTCATACTGTGTAGTGAAAAAAAGTAAGCAAGGTGGACATGGATCGAAAATGAACTGTTTATATACACGACACCGTTGCTGACACCATGAGATCAAAATCTGAGAGATGATAACATCTACAGATCAGATGCTAAAAGAATAGTCTGGTGAATTGCAACACTATTGGCTTAGAAAGCTGTATACATCGGGTGGTCGCTCCACTTGGGTCATCCTGCAGCCCGCTTTGGTCCACTACCGTCGACTCGGCTTGTACTTCGGCAAGCCGAATTGCTTGATCCCGTTCAAGTCAGTGCCGAGGTTCGGCTACAGGATTAGATGCAGTACCGTGTTCCTAGACAGTGGACTGCGGTTCTAGAACGATTACTGGGGCTGGGACATATATGGCATATACTTAAATAAGCTAAGATGAAGATAGAATGTTACTGGGAATCTGTTAGCAGGTGATCACTCCACTGTCGCATTTCCATGATCATTTTTCGTGATCAAAGAGCATATATATATATAGTGGTAGCAACCAAGTACATTGCAAGCCATACCGAGACTTGTACATATTTTGGGAATACTGGCAATAATGCCATGGTTTTGCGGGAGATATATATTCTGTTCTCCCACGTCGAGGACAGATTATGCCGTGCTTTTAGGCCAAGGCAGGATTAGTTCTGGCTATATTTGCCAGAAAGATACAAAACGATGCGCGCAAAAATATATGCAAGTAGAGGTAAAAGAAATAAAAAAAGAAGATGATCCCAGAGAGGCTCGAACTCTCGACATCTGCGTTATTAGCACAGCGCTCTAACCGACTGAGCTATGGGACCACTTGTTGATAGTTTGGCCCCATAGTTGGTACTAGTTAGTACTAAAGTTGGCGCGCCCACTTATTAATGTTGCCAACCAAAGGTCTGTGAGCGGAGACCTTGTAGTTTCCGCATTCAATCCCTTCAATATCCTTGACAAGCGCCAACGGCTCCCAGTGCCAGATCCATTATTTTCATATTTATACACCCCTGTACGTAATCTATATAGCGTTCGCATTCACAAGGTCTAGCGTTCCTCCTGATGTAATCTTGGCCCGTATAAAATCTAGTGGTGGATGTGGTTGGAGAGCTTTTCTATATTCTGTAAACCAGTCGTTTCCAGTCAATCATGAAAAATTTCCATGCAATCTTACGATGAGGAATTGCCTGGGGGCTTACTACATGAAATATAACCGTCTAGCGCCTGGTCATTTCCGGGGAGGTCACCTTTGTGTGAATATTCCTGTTTTCGTTTAACTGGCCACCATGACCTTTGTCAAAACCCCCGTTCGGGCCTTCACCAGCCCCTATTCATTATCCAAGGTCGTGCAACCTTCCAGCACTCAGCATCGATGTCGAATCATGGCAAACATGACTGACTTGACTGAACAACCTTCAAATAGAGCAGAAGGCTCCATTGCCTCGGCTTTCGCCTCTCTATCCAACCAGTCCATTGACCTTCCCGCACGACTTCTACGCCTGAAACAAGATATCTCGCGAGGAAACGGGGATGCCATCTTGGATGGATGGCACCGGCTGTTAGAACGAGTAGCAGACGACAAACTAGCGCAGTGGGATTCTCATATGATCCCAGAAATCGAGTTCTCCGCGATCAAATCCAACAATGGCAATCTTCCGGACCATGCCAAGCAAGCTCTGAAGGAACGGGGCCCGATCATTGTTCGGGGAATCGTGTCCCCTGGGGAGGCTCTTGCATGGAAGCAACGCATTCGCGATTATGTATCTGTAAACCCTTCCGCGACAGGGTTTCCCGGTGACTCTAGCGTGCTGTATATCCCAGCTGCCCCACTGTGCGAGGTCAATAGTTACTACCTGAGACACCAGCGGAATCAATTTCTCCAAAGCCGCTGCCCCCCCCTGATTTCCCTGGCGGTGTCGGCGAGAGCCAGCACAAGCACCGAGGCACTCTGGACGATTTATCCGATCGAGGCAAACGTGCTATGGGTTGCTTGAAGTTCGACGCTCCTATTTCCGGCTCCCCGGGGCAACAAGCGGCTGCACGTCTTGCGAACACGATCTTGGGATTCGACGTTGACTAAGTGATGTGATGGGCCGTGGGGGTTTTCATTTCAGCGTTGTCGAGAACAGGGAATAAATTGCTTGTTATACGAGTGTTTCAGATCTAGTACTACACTTGGGAGTAACTGATGCCTTCACCTCATAGTATCTCGTCGTCACAATAAGCCGTATAGTTTCTGCGTCCTAAGTAATCTGTACCAGCATCATATGCTCTTGGTCACCCAGTTTCAAAATTCTCTCTCTCACCATTTACTGATGTAGATGGTTAGGTCGGCTAGTGTGTATGGTATGCAGCCACGGATGAATACAATGGGTGGAACTAACAGGTACTGCGCTGGCGATAAGCCCTTTCTGAGAAGCATCTTACGGGACATCCTATCGGTAACATGTCTCTCAATTCACTGCACAGCCTTGCTTATTATAATGAATTCTACGGCGGGGCTATCCTCTACTGGCTGATGCTTATCCATATGGCAAGCGCCAAGACACCGCAGCGTGAACGCGCCCTAAGCGCCAGCCTTGCATGGTGAGCGAACAAGGGCATCGAATAGACATTGGCTACTATGAGCTGATCCATAAGCCTTGCATTGTTTTTGGGGTAGAGCAAATGACGCATGGGATTGGAGTTGTTTTGGAGTTCTGAGATGGATGGTGGTGCAGACAGAGTCGGTAATACCAAGTGATGTCAGCTCACTACGAGTATAACATAAGATCAACATCCATAGTAAAAACAGACGAATTGATTCGTATTAATCCCATCCACACATGAAAGGAATGACATCATTAGTACGTACATCGACGTTGCAATATACAGTAAGAGACAGGAATGGGAGAGAAGACAGTTTTGCTTTTGCTTTTGCTTTTGAACAGGAATCCAGACAGAAGATTAATACTTTTGATGTGACGACTCCAAGGTCAGTCGTCCTTGGTTATTTGCCGTTCAGATTTTCTGGCAGCAGCCCCAGCAGCCCTAATCGATGACCTGTTAATATGACTACCCTCACCTACGCTAAGTAAAGACGACGTACCTCAGAGCCAGTTGGGTGCTAGAACGGAGTCAGTCAGCAATTGCGATGACGGAAAGAAAATACCGAGTAGCTTACTTCATCGCTGGCACAAGCAGGCTTCTCCGCCAGACACATGGAGAGACACATGTCCTTCTTGACAGGGGCAGCTGGCTCGACTTTCTGGCAGCAGCCCCAGCAGCCCTAAGCAGACACCGTTAATATCGTTACACTGGCCCTAAATAAAAGAGACATACCTCGTAGCCAGTTGGTTGCTAAACAAGGTCAGTCAGCGTTGCATTCTCGAAAAAGTAATATACAATGACGCACCTCGTCGCTAGCACAAGCAGGCTTCTCTAGTTGACACATGGAGAGACATGTATCCCTCTGGACAGGGACAGCTGCTTCGATTTTCTGGCAGCAACCCCAGCAGCCCTGAACACTCATTATTATGATACTCTCATCTATGAGCAAAGGGGATATACCTCAGAGCCAGTTGGTCGCTAGAACGGAGTTAGTAATTGCGCGTTGTGTCAAAAAATATAGAATGGCTTACTTCATCACTAGCACAAGCAGGCTTCTCCTGCAAACACATAGAGAGACAAGCATTGCTGTTCTCAGGAGCGGTAGGGGCAGCGGTAGCCAGAAGAAGGCAAGTCATGAAGATAGCAGAGACACGGTGCATTTTGGCGGATGAGTGGAACAATGAAGTGTTCAGACGAAGGATTGAGATGGTTGTATGAGAGATGATTTTGTATTCAGGTGTGAGAATGCTGTTGATGGATTATTCCTGAATTCAAGATGAATTGGCCCAGTACTTATACCCCAGAATTGATAATTCAACTGTGGTGGTCAGACTATCCCGCTACCCCTTGCTTTCCGGATCGTATCCTGGTGGATACACCCCGGAAGCTTTAGAAATAGTAACTCTTGTACCCCTGACAAGAAGACCTAGAATACCAAGAATTGCTAGTGATCAGACTTGTGGCTTCGGGCCGTGCGCTGTCTGGCGCCTAGTGGAGCTAAAAACGTTTTTACTACGCTGGATAAGTTGAGAGGTGTCTACGATTACAGCATTGACCAATACTTAATTGATCGTCAATGAAAGGAAGAACATGCCAGTGATCGGGAATACGAAGATAGCATATTCTGTCAGTGCCAGTGGCGATAATTGATATCGTTGCAGTGGCAGATTCCTTCATCAGAATGGCATGCAAGGGGCCTAGAACTACTTGGCGAAAATGGAACTGCAATGGCATGTTGCTTTGCATCGCATCTGATGCCTCATGCAAATGGAGAGTAGTATAGCTTTACGAGATGGAATGTTGAGTTTGTGGTATGCAAGAAGCAATATAAATTGCTATGCATGGGGTGATTTCGAATCTCGTGTGACCATTACATAAATTTCTCAAGGCAATGCTGTTAAGGATCAATGAGACCGGAGCGTCAGCGAACGTGCTTAGAGACCGTCATACCCCAGGGACACAGTGCGTTGATTATTGCATGTTGATCCTGGTTCAGGGAGTACAGGGCACTATAACAGAGTTTTCTCTACAAGTGACGTCGTTCTAGACTTCGCCTCATAGCATTAAGAAGTGGTTATGATTTGCATTATTCCTTGGCAGGAGTCTAGTACCAGTTGAGAAAAGCACAACTGTGGCCAATTCATGCATAGCTCTTATGTTATGATATCACAGTAACACTGCAGGTGGCGGATGCATATCCTTGCATGTGTTATGATCCTTTCGACAGTAGCGTATGTAAGTACTCTGATCCTTGAAGAGTTCTCGAATTGCGGGTAGAGCCGGGTAAGGCTTTTCTTGATCGTTTTCTACATTAAGTTTTCGAGGGACAAGGATCAGAAATTCTACGATTTACACATTTTATATGAGGTAACCGTGGGATAAATTGGGAGCTAATGAAGCGGCCATAAAATTGATCCCTCGGGATGTGGTTATTAAAAGATACTGAACATATCAAGACCTGCAGGGTGGATGTTAGAGTTTTCAGATGCATGTCATTTTGGTTGATCATGCGTTCTCAGTCTAGAACAGCAGCGGAGAAGAAAAATCTAGAAGTTCATGAGAAGTCCGATGGCAACCGGGCCGTTTGTAAATTTAGTGGAGACTATGCAAGTTAGGGTTTTACTCCTGTTGATCTACAGGCCTTATATTGGCTTAAGCCCCTATTTCCCGCCTTTGGTACTTTGTCAATAAGAGCTCGATTAATATCGGAGCCGGAAATCCTCGGCATGTAGCCGTATGCATGTCGGGCGGCCTCGATCATTACTTTTTAGTTTGGGCTGAGTTGTCCTAACACTGAAGTAGAGTTTTCTCGATGCGATGATCTATGAGAGCTCAAAGCGCTTTTTATAGAACTTCCTTCCGGGTGTCATTGGTGGAAATGGCTAGACTCATGAAAAAAGTAGACTCCGTAGGCTCTCTGCTCTGGATGTTGATGATAACGCTGTATCACTGCCTGGCATACGTTGTGAACCACATGTCATCTGGGGCGCTGTGCTCGGAGATGGGCAATGTATAACCATACGGCCTGCTCGTCATATTGTACAGTCTTTTCTAGTATGGTTATATTGTCGCAAGAGTGCAGAAGTGAATCATCAACATAGCAACAATTATATAGCCACAAGCCTCTTGTTTCACAACCTATACTTTTCTTTACTAAAAAGGCTCAGAGAAACCAACTCGGCCTGACATATAGCCTATGTAACACGACTCCATAGATACAAAGAACACGTATATGAACATAAAGGGTTGTAAACTATGGAGACATCAAAATCTACACATACGTATTATTCGCAATACAGTATCCCAAACCTGGAAAGCGTAGATCTAAAAGCTCTATATCTTCACTAAAGAAAGAACAACTAACTAGTTGGCCAGTTGCTCTGTTTGACCTCGAGGAGCGCATGAAGGTCTTCGGGATCAAATTTAATTTTGGGGGATTGTCTCTCGCCCTTATCTTTCACTCCTTGAGGTGTGGATGCCAGTTCGTTAAATGAGTACATATGTTGACCAGAACATGATCTTTACGATCATAGCGTCTTCGACACGACATATGTATGCGTTGAAGACCTCTTGCTTGAATTCCGTTTTAGCACGTCTTCGCTGAGTGACTAGTGGCCAGTCCACAATGGGTACACCGGATATTTAACGCATAGATTGAATCGTAAGTCTCATCTCTAGGATACTGAGAATACCGCAAGGTCCATCGTCACTTTGTCCCATGCAAATCGATGCCGTAGGCACCGAGTGTGATATCCCGATCTGGTAAGCCTCCCGCAGCACGACTGACTAGCGTATGATTGGTTGAAATAGGGTCGCTTACCACTAGTGGCGCACGGGCCATTCAAGAACTGCTTTAAATACAGCCTTGACCCCCCGTCCTTTAGAATTTTTTTCTTTTCTTTTCCAGCTCTCTTTGCCTTTTGGCTTAGATCAAGTGTAGTATCTGTTCTTTTCAGTTTAATCTCTGAAAGTGTTCCATAGGAACACAACATTGATTAATCTTATTTTTGGTCTCCGTGGCAGGGCCCCTGTGCTTGCGCATGCCTTGCCACACAGTGTCATCGGGCTTACACTACCCCCGATAGACGCGAACCCCCCTTTTTCATCAATTTGGTCGGTATACCGACTGCTTGGAGAAGAAGGCTTAGTATCGTACATTTTGCAGTTGGTGCGACTACTCGCCCCCTACAGCGCAAACAGCGACTGACATCGTTTTGTTTATACCTGGTTGCAAAATTGGCCAGTCTCCTTCCATCACGCGAAAACAGTTACCCTATCCTTTATTCAAATTGTTCGCTCCTTCAAGATGGATCCTCTGTCATGTGAGGCGAGAGTGATAGTGGTTATCTAACTTAGCCGGCGCTCTTGCGGATATTTGCGGAGAATAGATCAACTTAAAAGGCCAAGAATGCCCAATAAGACGTCGACGAGATGATTGGAGAGATCAATAGCCTCAGAAGCATACTCAATTCGCTTAATGACGTGCTTCGT